AGCTCAAGCAGTCTTTTTCTATCGATGCTCCCCGGCTAGCAAACCGCTCGGCCTCCTTCATCAAAAGGGTACCATAATCCTGTTTGAATCAATCAGACCCAACAAATTTATCTCACCACTTATGGAAACATGAAACAGTTGATGTACAAGCTACATTACCTGGTGTTGCAGCTTGTCAGAATCCACCCATGAACAGGAACAACAGTCCCATAACACACGGAGTTCACGAACAATATAGAGCACTTCCCCATGCGTTTGGGACAAGTAGTATTCCGGCCACACTGATAATCGTAGCAACCGAACGAGAATATCGTGTTTACAAAAGAATAATAACAAAATCAAGTTACACAACCTGCTCACCTGGAAAAAACTGAAGCCATAAGATTCTGTGCACAAAATTACTATGCAAATCCGAGAAACACATATTTCACATGACAAGAACCGAATGATCCTTTCGTGTGAAGATGCACTCTATCACAAATATAGAAGGAATAACTGGCGAGTTTCTTCATATGAAAGAAACGTTTCTCATCCGTTGGATGAGAGCAAGTCCACCCTTGTGGATTGCTTGGGGGACAGGCATCAGGAAAGGGCCCGAGGCCCGGTGGACAACCCTCCAGCCTTGGAGAGCTCGAGCACAATGGGGGTGTGGAATTGACAGGCCTGCAGCCCAAGGGCCAGGCATTTTTTATTTTTTTTGTGTCAGCCCGAAGGCCTACAGCCCCATTTCAATGTTTTTTTTTTATTTTGTATTATTTAAACAAACAAAAAATAATAATATTTTATTACCTATTGTCAGGGGGGAGGGCTCCAAGGGTGGAGATGCAAAAGGTAATTACTGTTCATTAATGATAGTTACTATTCATTAAAGGCAGTTACTGTTCAATATGGTGGATTCAATAGTGGATTGCCAGGGGGAATGGCTCCAAGGGTGGAGTTGCTCTGAATGAGGAAAAAATATTCCCAATATATTAATTAGGAGAAACTATCTTGGGATAATGGTGGAAACATCCCTAATTGATTGTGATATGTAGGGATTCCTTACTTGATTGAGTTGATCTTCGATTGAGAATGTATTAAAAATAAGATTTAGTAATTAACCCTATATTTAATACTTGTGACTTCCCCCAAGAGAGGTTTAAGCAGTCGTAGTTAGCTGCTTGAACTTCCCGAGAAGTTGCACGTGCACGTGCGAGTATTTGTTTGCCCCTCCTAATTTAATGAGGTCAATCTTGTCTTCTTCGGAATAAAGTACACGTGTCGTCTTCTGAATTTTTAGAATTATTTTTGGCTCCACAATATTTATTTTATGAGAGTAACTTACATGACACAAATATACTATCACTATGGCATCTTATTGCAATGATAAATTGTCTTGTAAAGAGAAACCTACACATGTCGTCATTGTATTATTAGCATAAAACGTCATACATTGTACTTATGTACCCATTCCGAATAAGGTCTATGTAGCTCTTGGCACGTATAATTTAGGGTCTTCTAAACATTTACAGTCGACGGACCATGTTGGCCGTGCGGCAAATTCTAGAATGCATTCTTTGTCATTTGTCAATCATGTGAGAACATTATCAACTGAACTTGTTTGAAACACCACAACCTCTATGGGTGTGTTATCCACACACATCTTTTTACTTCTCACACACCTCTTGTTAATTTCTGCCCTTTGATTTTCTTCAATTCACTCGATCCAACGGCCGAAAATTAGAAGGGTGTGTGAAAAGTAAAAAAAAGGTGTGTGGATATCACACCCCAACCTCTAAATTCTAGAATGCTCTTTTTGTTAATATTCTTAACCTAAAGCCACTCATTACTATGATATATTTGTATTCCTCTTCACTTGTAAGTGATAGGTCTTAGGTTCGATTCTCGCCAAAGACGAATTTGAACCACATCATACCGCTCCCCCTTTTTTTCTTGTTAAACGATAGATTTTGTTAGATTAACTACGACGGGATTTGAACCCAAGCCGTCATGTAAGAGCTCAACTTCCCCTTAATTATATAATATCGTTTGCTCAAAAAATAACAATAATATATATATATATATATATATATATATATTGTAAGATCCCACATTGCCTAGAGGAGTGATCCTTATATGTATATTCTCATCCCTATCTAGCACGATGCCTTTTGGGAGCTCACTGACTTCGGGTTCCATCGGAACTTTGAAGTTAAGCGAGTAGCGCGCGAGAGCACTACCATGATGGGTGACCCACTGGGAAGTTTTTCGTGTGAGTTCCCATAAACAAAACCGTGTGAGGGCGTGATCGGGGCCCAAAGCGGACAATATTGTGCTACGGTGGTGGAGCGAGCCCGGGAAGTGATCCTTCCCGGGCCGGGATGTGACAGATTGGTATCAGAGCCTAACCCTGACTGTGATGTGTCGACGAAGACTTCGAGCCCCTAAGGGGGGTGGATTGTAAGATCCCACATCGTCCAGGGGAGTGATCCTTATATGTATATTCCCATCCCTACCTAGCACGAGATTTTTTGGAAGCTCATTGGTTTCGGGTTCCATCCGAACTATGAAGTTAAGCGAGTAGCGCGCGAGAGCACTCCCATGATGGGTGACTCACTGGGAAGTTCTCGTGTGAGTTCCCAGAAACAAAGCGGACAATATTGTGCTACGGTGGTGGAGCGAGCCTGAGAAGTGATCCTCCCCGGGCCGGGATGTGATAGATTGGTATCAGAGCTTAACCCTGACTGTGATATGTCGACGAGGACGTCGGGCCCCTAAGGGGGTGGATTGTAAGATCTCACATCGCTCATGGGAGTGATCCTTATATGTATATTCTCATCCCTACCTAGCATGAGGCCTTTTGGGAGCTTACTGGCTTCGGGTTCCATCCGAACTCTGAAGTTAAGCAAGTAGCGCACAAGAGCACTCCCATGATAGGCGACCCACTGGGAAGTTCTCGTGTGAGTTCCCATAAACAAAACCGTGAGGGCGTGGTCGGGGCCCAAAGTGGACAATATCGTGCTACGGTGGTGGAGCGGGCCCAGGAAGTGATTCGCCCCGGGCCGGGATATGACATATATATTCTTTACCTAAAATACATAAATTCCTTAGGAATGTGAGATTTGTGTATTGTACATCGACAAAGGTTTTTAATGAATATCATTTATTTATTTTTTTGGTATTAGTAAGATATTTACACAAACCGGTCAATCATATTATTATTAGGGTAGTACATTGCTATTTACGCACTTCTTTTTATTTGTCATACATTCTTGTTGATTTTGTTCATTGATTTCTTCAATTTATTTGATCTGACGACCTGAAATTGAAAAATACGTGTGAGACGTAAAAATGAGTGTATGAAATATGAATAACACCACCCATTTAATATTATTTTTTGGGTGATGCTATATACACCAAATTTATGCGCCAAATGTGTTCACTAAATGATATGACACGTATAACACCATATAAATTTTTGGGGTATTCGCTGATTTACCCCCTGAACTTGTAAGCAATAGTCAATTTCCCCCCTGAACTTTAATTTTAGCCAATTACCCCCATAAACTTGTGTAAATCACCAATTTACCCTCTGCCGTTATATTTTAGAATTTACCATCCAATTCGATCACGTGCTCTGCACATGCTAATGGTGTGAGGACAAAATGGTAATCATACACCACAACCAAACCTAATCGTTGTTGGGTATATGGAGAAGCAGGGGAAGGCGAGCCATAAAGAATTGGGCATTATAGGGTTACAGTCTGGGAAAAGATAAGGAGAATAGACAGTGAAATCAACAAATTGCTACCAAATATTGAAGGTATTTTGAGTTTTGAAGTTGAGAACGATGAGTATCGTGGTCAGGGATGGTGGGCATCCTCCAAGATACAGTAAGTCTTCACTTTTTCTTTTTCAGTTTGTTTAATATGTGAAAGGTTTGCTTTGCGTGTTATTTTTCCAGTCGTGTGTGTATATGGGGTCCCTTCATTGTTTTATTCAGTTATGCGTCCCACACCCTCCCACCCTAATCCCAGCCCAGCCACACCCACACGCCATTCAACCTTTTAAATTTTTCAAGAAGGGGATGGGTTGTAATTATTGAAAAAGATAGAAGACATTTGTGTAAGTACCATATTTATGCGACTTGTCGGATAGAACTGAGCAACAAACTTGTACTGGCATTTGGTTTAATGTTTGGCGATTGCCTGGTGGCTATGCCAGTTGATCAGCAACTGAAAGTTGACCAAGTTATCTTTCTTTCCACGTCAAAATCCCTGCATTAATACATATCAAGGGTTTGAAAGTCCACTTAAAGTTGAACCAGATTGTCTATCAACTGGTTATGTGTGGCTAGCTGATAAGCCATTTAAAGTTGAACCAGATTGTCTATCAATCTGATAAGGCAGTGAAATGGCTAGCTGATAAGCCACCTTGCCATTGGAGCAGATCTCATTTCAGAACATCAGTAAAGTGTGATTTGTTATTCACATGTGTGAGTCATTTAATTCTGCAATTTTAGATGCAAGAGATAAACCGATTATTACGATGTTACAAAGGATTCAAAAATATTTGATGTTGAGAATGGCTAGGCTAAGAGAAGCTAAGTGGACCCAACAGGTTGGACCTAGAATTTTAAAGATTGTTGAAAAAAAAATCAAATGGATGGTTTCAATTGTTTTGCCAATTATTCAGGGAATGGTCAATATCAAGTGCATACTTTGGTTGGTAGTATGTTTGTAGTAGATTTGGAAAGGCACACTTGTTCTTGTAGGAAGTGGCAGCTATGTGGCATTCCTTGACCTCATGCTATATCCGCAATTGCTAGGAAGGAGGCTAGTCCACAAGTGTTTGTTCACTCACTTTACAAAAGGCCAGCTTATGATAGGTGTTATGAAGGGTATATTGCTCCTATGCCTGGAAAAGAACAGTGGAAGAGAACTGGTCTTAGGCCTATTAAACCCCCTTTTTACCACAAGCAACTTGGAAGACCTAAAGGCAAAAGAACAAAAGCATCGGATGAGATAAAGAAGGGGCCAACAAAGCTAAGGAAATATGATGTTGTAATGCATTGCCAAACCTGTGGAGAGGAAGGACACAACAAAAGAAGCTGTCCACAAAGGCTACTACAATCACAACAAGGTTTTGTGCCCACAAAAGAGGTAATTTGATCAATAAGGATTGTATTTATTTTGAGTTTTGTTATATCACTTATCTAGTCGCTAGGTGAACATAAATAATTGAGTATAAATGGTTTTGATGTAGGAAACTGGTGCACATCATCACTCGGGGGCTGCTCCATCTCAAACTAGGCCACAAGGAACTTCTAAACTACATGTAATAACAAGAATCTGTCTTTTTTTTATTAAAAAACAAAAATATTTGTTATACATTAATTTTTGTTGTTTTGGGTTTGCTAACATTTTTGTTGCTTTCGTGTTGAGTTCAAATAGGTGTACCGAGGCGGTCGTGTGAATCAAGTCACAAGAAAGGCTAATGAAATGGCATCACAACCCCAACGTGTTGCCAAAAAGCCAAGACCATGGAGAGTATAACTATAATGTGTTCGAAGGCATTTCGTCCTGTTAATGAAAACCTTTGGTGTTGAGATTAAGTTGGTCTTTTAATAGGATTATGCAGTAGATTTTTTGTGGATGTTGTTAAGTCTGTTGCATATTTTTTGTGGATGCTAGGTGCAAGGCTGTTAAGGCTGTTAAGTCTGTTGCATATTTTTTGTGGATGTTGTTTACTTTATTAAAGCACTCGAAGTAAGAATCGTTAATTTCATTTTGGTAAACTGGGCACTGAGCCAATATTTTTCAGTTGCTAATTAGACTTCTATAGCTAATTTAGACAAAATTGTACGAAGTGAACTAGTGGAAGAGAAGAAGAATAAAGATAGAATGTCTACATTAGGGATAAAATTACTTTTTTACCCTTAAAAATTTGGCATGTGCCATGCATGTGACCGAGTTGGATGGAAAATTGGATGGAAAATTCTCAAATCTAACATCAAGGGGTAAATTGGCTAATTACAAAAGTTCATTGGGGTAATTGGCTAAAATTAAAGTTCAAGGGGAAATTGGCATTTCCTTACAAGTTCAGAGGAGAAAACGACAAATACCCCTAAATTTTTATTACAATTATTAATCAAATCAAACTTGAATTAAAGTAAAATTTTGATTGGGCCACATCATTTAGTGTACTTAACATTATTCTTATTATTTATTTACTTTACAAAAATCACTTATTTTCTTCTAATACGGTATATATATATATACACACATTTTTTTTTTTTTATCAACAAAGAAATTTCTATTAAAGACTAAATCTTCTTGTACATCTATCCCATACAAGCATTATGAGCGATAAGGCAAGCAATGGTCCCAAAAATGAGGGTTAGCTAGCGTGAGACGATAAATTGTAGAATGATACAGTATCACCACGTCAGTTGTGGTACTTTCACTTCAAACTTGCCATTTGTACAGACGTGGAACGGAGGAAGATGACGCCGAGTTCAACGGATGTTGGAGACCCGTGGCGGTGTTTCGAGATGGAGATTTCGGCAGGGAGCCGTTCGCAACTCAGACTTCGTTGGGGCTTTGGGGGATTTCGATGGCTGAGTCCTTGAGGAGCCACTGGGGACTGATTGCTGGATGTTGAAGGTGAATATTAATTCTTTAAGGTTGATATTATTTCTTATGACGGTGGATGTGATTTCTCAGGAGGCAGGCAATCATGGCAATTGATGGCAGGGAATGAAGGTGGTGGTGGGGAACTGGGGCTTTGGCGGAAGGAGCTGAGAATTTTTTTTTCTTTTAATTTTGTTTAAACTGAAAAAAAAAATAATTAAAAAAGTTTTTAATCCAGCCGTAAGAAACTGCACTCATGTTAAAATTTGAATGGAAGTATATCACCCGACATGGTAATACCGTACCATCAAATCAAATAATTCTCAATAGCAATAAAACCATAGTGAGCTAAAGCATCCGCCACAAAATTTACCTTCCTAAAACAATATATATATTTGAAAACTTGAAAAAAAAAAAAACAATAAATATTGAAAATGAAAAATGGGTCATAACCATTGGTTTAGTTAGAATTGGTCTCATCAATGACATATTTAGTTCCAAACCAATATTATTCCATCAACATACACGTAAGCAAACAATAATATAAGTTCTTGTAACACACAAACAGAATGTTGGGCATTATTCTCATCAGTGACACATTTAGTTCCAAACTAAAATTATTACATCAAAACACACGCAAGCAATCAATATAAGTTTCAGTTACACAAATAGAATATTGGGCATTATTCAATTTCAAAAAGGGCAAATAAGAAACCAAGATCGATCAATGTTTGCAACTTCACACAACACACAAACAACAAACGGATTCTTCCTTGCAGGGTGAATGACTCCACACGTATATAGTCTGATATGTTACTATAACGAAAGTCGAGATTCACCACAAAATCAATTGGCAAAAAAGATTGCAGTCTCACAAGTGCTTCTGAGGCTTGATTCTACAAAAAGGATATTACAAGACAAACGAAACACAGTTACTGAATAAAATCTCAATGCATGCATATATTATGTCTTTGCCAGACTTGTGAATAAGATTGAACATGCAAATTATAAGGCAAAATGATTTTTACACTCCGATGCACTACTTCCTCTTTTTCGTAGCCTTAGAATTGAATAAATCAAAATAATAACGAACAAAAACAAGAGGAATATAGTTCAAATGATTACATTGTGGAATTTTTTTTACAAAAATGCTACTTTTACCACATTTTTCATACCATATTTGTATCACCTCTCTAATTGAAATGAGACCCACATATGTTGATGGACCCTACCTCTATTAAAAAGGTGGTACACAATATATAGTATGTAAAATGTGATAAGTCTAGCATTACTCAAATTTTTATGCAAGGATAAAAGTGTGCGTACCTTCTACGAGAGTGAATACCGGACAATCTTTCATGGTGTCCCATGTAATACAGGCTGATTTCAGGAAAGTGTTGTACCTTTGGATGATCCATGCCTCTTTTTTACGGACTCTATAAGTTGCCTTGGAACATGACCCAGAATCAAGCGTTCTACGTTAGCAAGGAGCTCAATGCCCTCTGGCAATGTCTTTAACTCCATGCATTCCCAAATGTCTAAGACCTGGAGATTTGGCATCGCCCCTTTCTCTATAGCTATACTATTCAATAAGGGGAGGTTGCGCAAATCCAAACGCTTAAGCTTTATGAAGCCTCTGGAGAAACACAATTTTTCGCCAACATATGCATTAACTAGCTCAAGCCTCTCAAGATTCGGCAATGCTTGAATGTGTGGTAGCAAATCTTCTTCAAGTCTAGACCAATATAGCTGCATACGTGTCAGGTTATGGAGTGAACCAAACCAAAGCGGTACCTTTTCTAGTTTTCCGGCCAAATAAACCTTTTGAAGGTTTGGAGGAGGCGAACGTAGTGCATTAACTCGAAGAAACTCCTCTTCATCACTTGCCATCAAAAACAAATAGTGAAGGAGCTCTAACTTTTGAAGGGAGTCACATAGGTCCATCTCGTCACTTGCTTTCACATTTGTAATACCGAGGCTTGTAAGTTGGGTCATATTCCTGATGACTTTAATAATCCTTCCTTCTGATTCAACAGATTGCAAAACTTGCAGTTTCTGTAAGTTACTTAGATCGGATGCTGCTTTTATCCCAATGACATACATAAAGCCATAATGATAATTAGTGTAACGATACATTGTTAGATGGCGTAGGTTTACTAACTTGGAGATTGCTTTTGGAAGTGCCTTTATCTTACTGTCACGGATGTTCAAGTTTTGAAGGTTGCGAAGCCGTCCGATGGATTCTGGAAGCTCCTCAATTAAAGTTCCCTTCAAATTTAAATATCTTAAGTTGAACAAGTACACTAGTTCATCTGGAAATCTATCAATTGGGGCATCCTCCAGATCTAGAACTCTCAACAACTTGAATCCAGAAGGCAATTTCTTTAACGTGCCAAAGACAAGAAAGGAGCGAAGCTCTGACATACCTGTGCAAGAATTAATTTCCCCTTCAGTTGTTTGAATTGACAATCGACGGATTTCAGCTTTATCTACTATATCTCGGCCAACATATGTTGCACCAAACTTTTCTTTTTTTGATGTCGACAAAGCAAGCTCACGCATAAGATCATGCATCTTACATGCTTTTGGTCTTCCAGCTTCATTCCTTAGTTCAACTTGTAGCATGCTACGACCAGTAAGTTCCACAAGATAGTCCTCTGCAACTTCTTCTGGTGTGACCCCATCAATTGGTTCAACAAGCCCTTCAGCTATCCACAACTTGATCAACCTTTTTCTTCTGATGAGATAATCTTCTGGGAAAAGGGCACAATATAGGAAACATGGCTTCAACCGGTTGGGCAAATTGTTGAAACTAAGCAACAAGATGCTGCTCATTGATTCTAGCATAGGATGGTTAGTCAAGTGCCAATTTAAGCTGTTGTATACTCTTCTCCATTCCGATGATGACCTCTTGGAAGACATTAGACCACCTAAAGTTACCACAGCCAGAGGTAGGCCTTCACACTTTTCCACAAGTTTCCATGCTAATGATTCAAGCTCTGGTGGACACGATTTATTATCGTAAGTTGAGAATGCTTTCTTGCTAAAGAGCTTCCAAGCTTCATTGTTTTCTAAGGGTTCAATTTCAATAGGACAACTTTCAACTTCAAAAGAATAGGAAGCTATGCCTTTCTTTCGAGTTGTAAGCATGATTCGACTTCCATGATGTCTATTAAGAAGTGGTATCCTTATTTTCTTGCCAAAGTTTAATATCCCACACATCATCCAATACAAGTAGGTACCTTTTAGACTTCAAGTATGTCGACAACATCTCTAACAATTCTTCATAACTCATGGAATTCAAATGTTCAGTCACCTCTTCCTTTCTTCCTTGGTGGAATTGCTTGATCAGATTTTTGAATAAGTCTTCGATCACATAAGTTTGAGAAACAGTGATCCATGCATAACAGTCAAAATGTCGCTTTACATTTTCGTTGTTGAAGGTATTGGCAACAAGAGTTGTCTTGCCTGATCCTCCCATCCCGACCACAGACACAACCATTTCATTTTCCTCTCCATTCATCAACAATCCCATTAACGTTTGCTTCTTGTCTTCAATCCCGATTAGTTCGTCTTCCATAATATAAAGAGAAGACTGGGCTTTGTTCTTCACCCATCTGGGAACACTATCCGAAGTTGTTCCTTCTATTGTAGAGACACCATATCTCTCATTCCTCTCTGGAATGGCTTTGATCTTTTTTGTGATTTTCTGTAATTTTTTGGCTATTCGATGCCTATACCAAAGATTCTTTGGAAAGTAAATGGTTCTGTGGAGCAATTTTGCAGATGGACTCGCACTGTGCTTGTCATATATGTGATACAGGAACTCATCAATGACATTTTCCGCATCGCAGGTCAAATTTCTGACGCTTGTAACCCACGTTTTCACTCCTTCTGTTTGTGGTTCCTTGCCTTCAGCATCTATTAAGAAAGATTTCATGCTTATGAGCTCCAGCTTAAGCTCATCAACTTCATCACGGACTGCCGCTATGGAAGATGCTTCGTTCTCAAGAATGGCCGCAATTTTCCCAATCAATAGTGATGCAGCTGACTCCATTTTGGCCTTCGATACTTTGGTATGCAATCTATATCTGCAGAATAGACAAGTTTCAAAACAACAGAAAAAGAAAAAGAATGCAATGGATAAACTTTTTTTATTTTACAAACTATGTGCTTAGTTTTCAAAACTACAAAAAGGTCGTACCCAGTGCACAAGGCTCCCGCTTTACGCAGGGTCTGGGAGAGGTGAATGTCGGCTAGCCTTACCCCCATTTATGGAGAGGCTGCTCCCAAGTCTCGAACCCGAGACCTACCGCTCATGGGCGAAGGCACTTGCCATCGCACCAAGTGCGACCTCTTAAAAATGTCGTACCCAGTGCACAAGGCTCCCGCTTTACGCAGGGTCTGGGAAAGGTGAATGTCGGCTAACCTTACCCCCATTTATGGAGGCTGCTCCCAAGTCTCGAACCCGAGACCTACCGCTCATGGGCGAAGGCACTTGCCATCGCACCAAGTGCCGAAATTGTCTAAATAAGGTACCGAAATTGTCTAGTACTCAAGAAATTTAAATTTCTGTTCTTGACTTTCATTCAGTTTAACAAACAAAGGGCCAAACTCAGTCGAAAATTCTGAAAACTACCTTCTTGAGTCTTTTTTCCAAAGAACACAAAATTAAAGAATTTGGTTCAAGAACAAAAAATCTATGATTGAAAATTTTCGAACTCGTTCAATCTAATTCTTCCACCAAACATCATGGTTTTTTGACAGTGTTAAGGACAAAAATGAGTTCCAATTCCTTGTGGGTTGCAGTTGACAAGTTCCACAAAATTGTTGTTAAGTGAAAGTACACACATCGAAAAGAAGAACAGAATATTTTGGGTACATCAGATTGAACTCTACACAAAGGCCTGACAATTTTGTCTACCTAAACCTACCTAGGCGCCCGCCTAGACTGCCTAAGTCAAAACTCTTACTTATACAGAAAATAGATAATTTTCATTGTAATTTTTTTAATAAATTGTAATAGACTGATTAAATAATTGGATGAACACTCATTATGACACACCCCGACCCAAAATGTCCACCTGGACAATTGAATTGAGTTGTGTTGGCCGACACCTGGAAGGTGACAAAGCCATAAAGTAATGGTGATGTGGAAAGTGTAGACTAATTTAAACCTAGAGTAACTAATTCTAGAGTGCGCATGTGGGTGGAGTTAAACACTTTTCACACAAGTGATGACAGATACAAGTAACTTATAGTAAAAGATAAAGAACATTTATACCGAAGGGAGAAATCCTCCTATATGTCAGCGCTTGCCAGCAATCCTCGTTGTCATAAAAGCTCTACCACTTAAATCCTAGCGGGAAGACAAATAAGGGTGAGTGGGCCTACAAAATAAAGCTTGGAAAACCTTTTTGAAAACGTGTAACCCCTCGCTGTAAAACAAGTATATTGTTCCCCAAAAATAATAATACAACGTACTACTATATAGTATCCGACATATATCGTAAGTCGAAGAATACAGAGTACGTATACAACAATCATCTCAAAGCATAAGCCACTGCTCATTAATGTATGTACGCGCACAAGTCCATTTCAGAGATATTTTGACAATGGAAAATGTTGGGTTTAGATTTTACGTTCTAGTACTACATCACATGAAGCGGGCACTAAGCACATCACATATGAGTCCAAACATCTAACCTAAAGACATGCTGGCACCTAACTCTGGATCCAAATCGAACGTAAATGGTGTATATGAATATACAATGAAGTTGTTCCTTGGCCCAAGACAGTACAAAATAACTAAGAGACGCTGCACAAACATGTAACAATAAGCAAGTAAGATGCAAGGATGTTATGCGATAGGCTTATGCTTACAAATAATATTTTAGGTTTGTTCCCTATGTTTCAATATGTTCTAATACTTTATAATATATATGTCCTTTATTTTGCAATTTATGTACATAATGTTATGTTTTTTTTTAAGCATAGGCAAATGTTTATATATATGTTATATAATAAATTTAGGCAATTATTATCAGCACTCTGTATACTCTTCATAAGATTTTTTTTTTCTAAATATAGAATGTTTGGAGTGTACAATTAGATTTTTGCAGTGCCAATAGCAATTCTCTAAATTTAATTAAAATTAAAAAAACCACCTAGGCCCTCCGCCTAAGCTAGCCCTTGCTCGCTGCCCGACTTGCGCCTAGTATGATTCATTATCAAGTCACTCGTTGAGAACCTTATTAGAAATCGTTTGCTAGATCTAGATATTAAGTATATTAAATTCTTGCATGACCATTAACTGGACATGAAACGGCATGATCCATTAATGAATCGAGTCATTATTAGATTACCTGTTAAGAATTCATTTAGATAACGAGTTTGATACAATACGATTTGTTAAGATAATGAGTATGACACGAAAAATAAAACATGACATTTGCTTGCTAAAATTATTTAAATAAAAACATCAAATAATAATGATTAGACCTACAACCAAATTCATCTTCATGGTGTACAAATCAACAACCTACCCTTTTTTTTTCATTCAAGCAATATTGTTGAAGAAGAAATCGAATTTGAAATCTTGTGTGTTGAAGGCTGAATGCTCTGAACCTAAGTGACATATATAAAATAAGAAGAAAAAAAGTAAAACTAAAAAATCAGATATATCTCATAAGCACTTATACTTTCTTCCAGATAAATTCTAGAAGGATATTATATGTGGCAGTAAGAGTGCAGAATAACATACACTGGGGAATATGAAAGCTCACAAAAGAGTTGCAATGATATGCTTCAATTGCATTGAGCTACAACTTACGTTATTGTTGGATTCCTTCATTAATGAACTCTGAAATATCAAATATGAGAAGAAGACGAAGATTACAAATTTATAAAAATTGGAAAATAATTAAAAGTAAGTATTAGCCTATTAGAGAGATAATTTAATCTTATGAGTCATAACCCAGTAAGAATTTTTACTGTATTTGTTTACGAAATATAGGTAATGATCATCTTTACAGTCGATTTATTCATTGTTTTTGGGTCAATCGGTAAGTTACCAAATTACATGCATTTAGATCAACCAATATTTCTATGTAATAATTCGGCCTAACAAATTCTTCTATTTAAAATCGTTTGTTTAAAAAATAATTTGATTGTACATATTCTCGTGGGCACTAGGTTTATGTAATCTAATCGCTATAGCCTATAACACAAACTCTTGTCCATGCTTGATGATACAAAGACCAGTACTTTTGGACACAAAACTAATACATCAAATTATTTACGAAGGGGTAATGTGGCGAGACAAAAGTTGTAGATACAATTTTATAAATTAAATTATATGAAAATTGATGAATGAATTATTACTTAAATTTTGATAAAAGCTTATTTTATTGATAAAACATCATTATTTTACATTTTGTCTACAAATTTAGGAATGTGTATTCAATTAAGAATTTGACAGACTTTAATTCTTTTAATGAATTTAGAAGTATTCAATCAGGATTTTAAGTAATTTTCTGAAATTTAACGTGTATTCAATCAAAATTTTAATATAGATTATTAAAATCATTAAAATTCTGGAAATTTTTAATTAGGACTTCAAAAAAGTTTATAACATTTTATGTGTATTCAATCAAAAATTTATTTTAAAAAAAATTAAAAAGTTAAGGAATTGAGGGAATTGAGAAATTTTGCTGTGCTATTTTAGGTATTCACAAATCTACCCTCTCCTTCTAGAATTTTGAAAGGAGCTGAATCAAAACTTTTCATAAAATCTAAAAAAAATTAATTAAATTTCCTTAAACTCCCTAGCATTACCCTTACGAAGACATTTCGACAGAGACCAAGACTTTTGGACAAAAGTAATAGTTTGATGCACATGGCAATTTGCAAAACCATGAAACTCGGGATAGGAAGCCGCGTAGGATGCATTAACGAGGTGAGAATCGAGATCGTATTAAAATTTATAGGAAATAATTTTGCTGATGTTCACTATTTTATTCATCATTGTTACATAATTTAAATTTCAAAATATGTAATAAATATCGTTACATTAGTTTAAATTTTAAATTCAAAATATGTGTAATAAATACTATTGTTACATTAATTTAAATTTCAATATACAAGTAGAATAGACAAAATTTAAAATCTTCTAATGATAATAAGTAGTAGAGTAATGAACAATACTATCCGTTCATAGTGGTAAGCAAAAGTACGCTAAGTTATAGTATAGAAGTGTCGGGTTCAAGATTCAAATCAGTAAAAAAAAAAAAAGGGTATGCTATTCTCACATAACAAATTACTTTTCACGCACCTCTTATTAATTTCTGTCCGTTGATCTTCTTCAATTCATTTGATCCGACGGTCAAAAATTAGAAAGATGTGTAAGAAGTAAAATTGAATCTGTGAATATTACATCTCAAAAATAACATCTCCTGGGGCACGAATGAAAATGAAAGTAACTCATATTATGATATTATACATCACAAGGTTTCAACAAAACACTCAAACGCATCTAATCTACATTACAAAATTTTATCGACACTTCCATCGAAATCAACTACTTTTCAAATCTCTGATTCAACACATGTCACGGGTGAGCTACTAGCTCACTCAGTAGTAAAGATTTTCACAAGGCCTCTTTTCTTAATAATAGTATAATAGTATAGATTATATGAAATTTGAGTATGTATATTTTCAATTAAAAATAAAGAAAAAACAAGGAGGCTCGCGGGTCTCCTCGCCGGAAAAAGGGGACATGTTTCCCGAATTGTTTCTGCACTCCAACCTCGCCAAAACATACATGCAAGGAGTCAATCTTCATCAAAATGACAAGGGAAAATCAATCCAGTGGTCCAGACCCTTACCTCGGTCGATCAAAAATGGCGAATGAGGGTGGTGTTCCTGCTGCGTTTCTGTGCAGCGTGTGCACATATAGAGGGTCGAAAGAGAGTGTGTGACAGAGATGAGAGCCAGAGGTTTGATGGTCCGGTGGGGTGGCCGCTCTCTGGTGCTCGGCTTCTCTGACGCACAGAAGGGAGAGATGGCGAGAGTTGAAAGAGAGAGAAAAGGGAGAGGAGTGAGAATGAGAGAGTTTGACTGTTTGAGTGTTTTGAGACAATTGAGTGTAACATAACTGAGGGAAACGTGAGGGAAACGAGAGATTTTTCAATGTTTTCATTACACGAAATGGTATATTATGTGTCTCTATATAAATGGTGGGTTATTTGTGTTAAAAGATTAATAATTTAAAAATTAAAATTTTTCACCACTTACATAAAAATAAATAGTGTATCATCCGTATTTCCGTCAAAACGAAAAATTTTCGGAGGGAAAGAGTCAAACTACACGGGGAAGTGGGTGCGTCCCACCGATCAGATTTTTAAAAAAATATATTAATTAACTGCTGGTGTACTGATAAGAGTAGGAGTAATGTTTGAGTAACTAAATTTTTGGACTAAAATTGTAAATTAAATCATATGAAAGTTGGTGAATTGATCATTACTTAAAAGTTAATTAACATGTTTATTTCTTATTGGTGACACGTTATTTAGTTTAACTGGACATAAAATAACACAACTGATTAACTGCTGGTGTACTGATAATATATCGTTTTTTAGATCTAGATATTAGGTATATTAATTTCTTGCATGACCGCTAATTGGACATAAAATAACACAATTTGTTAACTATTCGAGTCTTAATTTGGGCCACCTATTAAGAATTCATTATATTGAAACTTTTTTTTTTTAAGTTGATGTTTGTAGAGGCATAATGTGGGAAATTTGTCAAACAAAAATGGTTGACAAAAAGTATTTTTCTTCACTGGAAGTTGGGTGATAAAAGGGAATATAATGGGCAATAGCCTTTAAAAAGTAGGGATATTTTGATATAAATCTAAAATAACTAAAAATTGAACTTATTTCAAAAGTAGTTTATAAAATTGAACTTATTTCAAATTTTCTCTAAAGTAAGTGTGGAGGACAATGAATTATAAATAGTTTGATCCCGGACCATATGAATAGAAGCCAATAATAATAAAATAAAGAAAAGGTAAAGTATATGATACCTTAAAAGATGTGAGTAACGCAAGCAATTAAATTAAAGAAATGGAAAATAATAATAGGCTTAAATATTAAAATGGTTCATGTGTTATAGTTATATGGCCAATTTAGTCTTCGTATTTTTTATTTGGTTAATTTAATCCTCATGTTTGTCTTTGTTAGCTAATTGAGAACATTTCATTCAATCTCTTTTAAAAAATTTATAAGAAAAATCAAATGAGAAATAATTATCTTTTTTCTATACAGAAAAATACAAATCAATGAGAAATAACACCGATACGAAATAAAACTTCCAATTTGAAAAATGATAAAGGTTGTGACATAGAAATGAGACGGGGTAATGTTAGGGATGAAGTTGGAGAGTTGGGAGGAGGATAAATTTTCTTTTAATTTTTTTATTTTATTCCATGTTAAATGTTTTAAATCAAATAAATTATAATTTTATAAATAAGTTTATAATAATTTATAATTCTTTTACATAAATTAAATGGAAATGTTCTTAATTGGCTAACGGAGATAAACACAAGGACCAAATTGAACAAATTGAAAACACATGGACTAAATTAACCCAGTGACTAAAACACAGAGACCATTTTAACATTTAAGGCATAATAATATTAATAAAAGGTGCCAAACCATTGTCTCTTTGTTTTCCACTAGTTAAAAGAATATAGGTAGCCGTCCAAGGTTCAAACGTTGCACTCCAAATTAGCAGCTTAATTAATCTTTATCTTCAACTGACTAGCATTGATGTTTTGGAGGAGAAAAAAGGATATTGTCACCAGTTGAAATATACACATTATCGTAAGAAAATTTATACATTAGAAGACTCACTAGCGCTTTTCGTGCTCATGCCTTTTAATATTCTTCTATTACTATTAGGAAATAGTATATACATCTATCGTTTTATGGAAGTTTTCTCCCTAATATATACACCAGATTGGTTTGGTGAGGGGGGAGGGTTTTTTTGGTCGATAACTTCGAAATTCGAAATTCGAAATTCGAAATCCTTTTAGAGGAGCTATAACTTACAAAACGTGAACCCTAATTACATGTATACAACTCCTACTTTTTACCAATCCCATGCGCAGAAATTGAGAATTTTATAGTGTGGAAACTTAAGAGGGTATCTCTCACAATTTTTAAGTTTTAAGAGGGTATCAGTGTCACTCACAATTTTTCAAGAGAATGAGTGTGGCACAGCTGAGTGAAACTTGAGGGGAAGGAGAAATTTTTTATTGTAACGGGAATATGAGTGGTACATTACGTGTTTTTATATAAGTAGTGAAAAATTGTATTTGTTAAGATATTAATTTTTTAACACATATATTTCAACATTGATATAATGACACGTGGTGTACTACTTTGTATTTCAGTAAATGTCTCGAGAAATAATGAAACTACACCGGGAAGAGGAGTGGTCACGTGGATACGTTCCACCTACCAAAACCAATTATTTGAAAAAAAACATTAAATAATTGGTAGTGCACTGATCAAAGTAGAATTATAATAATCTCTTGATATCGAGTTTCGTAAAATTTTTGTCGTATCTTCAAATTTTAATGAGTTTGAGTTCACGCAATCGTAGTGAACGAGAGCATGTATGTGTCTTTGGTTCAAGCCTAAAAAATAATTAATTATGTACGGGACTTAATTATTAAACACAAACAGAGATGAGTCTACTTGTCCACTTGCTTAACGAGTCCAACGAATAACTCCTCAATATCACAGTTTGCAGCATGCAATACTGACAACCAACAAGTTATGGATTCATGATGGTGCAAATTATTATTTTATCTCATTAAAAAATGTGCATAAATAGTTCGATTTACACCTCTTTTGTGCTCATGTGTTTCTAAAGACATGTACTACCTAGAAAGATGTGAACGGGACAAAGAATGACAAGAACCCAAATGTCCACTTAGGATTTCCACTAAGCTTGTAAAGGGTATTTTTGTAATTTTAAGTGTCAGAGAATAAAATATGATTAACTTTAAGTATAAAAAGTATGGAGTGTACAATTAGATTTTTAGAATGCTAATAGCAATTTTCTAAATTTAATTAAAATTAAAAAAAAAAACTGGATAGGCCTCTGCTTGCCGCCTGACTAGCACATAGTGCAATTCGTTAACGACCAAAATCATTATCAAGTCATCTACTAAGAACCTAATAAGATATCGTTATCCAAATCTAGATATTAGGTGTATTAAATTCTTCCATGACCTGTTAACGAGACATGAGACGACACGACCTGTTAACAAATTGAGTCGTTATTGGATTACTTGTTAAGAATTCATTAAAGTAACGGGTTCGACATGACACGTCCCGTTACGATAACGGGTATGAACACGAAAACACCAAAAACACGACAAACATGACATTTTTGCTTGCTTAAATTATTTAAATAAAACACCAAATAACATTGATTAGACTTGCAACCAAATTCAACTTAATGGTGTACAAATCAATAACTTACCCCCTTTTTTTTATACAAGCAATATTGTTAAAGAAGAAATCGAATTTGAAATTTTGTGTTCAAGTTTGAATGCTTTGAACTTGAGTGACATATATAATAAGAAAAAAAAATAAAAAAAAATAAAAAATTCAGATATAGCTCATAAGCACTTATAGTTATACTTTCTTCCAGATAAATTCTAGAAAGATATCATGTATGGTAGTAAGAGTGCAGAATGACATACTTCGGGGAATATGAAGGCTCACAAAAGAGTTGCAATGATATGCTTCAATTGCATTAGGCTATAATTAACGTTATTGTTGGACTCCTTTGTTAATGAACTTTGAAAATATCAAATATGAGAAGAAGATTACAAATTTATGAAAAATGGAAAATAATTGGAAGTAAGTATTAGGAGATAATTAAATATTATGAGTCATAATCGCAGTAAGAATTTTTACTGTATCTTTTTACGATGTGCAATTTTTAAAAAGATAATATAAAGAATGATTTTCATTTTAGTTGATTATATTCATTTTTTTTGTCACTCGGTAAATTGAATAATTACTAAATTACATAAATTTAGATCAATCAAAATACTGATATTTCTATGAAATGATTCGGCCAAACAAATTCTTCCATGTGAATTGATTGTCCCTATTCTGGTGGGATAATAAAAATGAAAGATTAAGAATTTATAAAAAACGAGATTTAATTTAATTTTTTTTAGTGGTGAATAAAAATGGGGGTCGAACAAGGTGCATATAAACTAATTGGTATGACGCGGACGAGGATCGGTCTTCGAATTCTTTTTTTGAGATCAGATGATCAATTAAACGTATTCGTTCATCATACATTGTACGATCAATTTTCCTTAAATACTATTTATATTTAATTTTAAATATAAAATTTAAATAATTTCTAGTTACACAATGTACAATAAATACACACGATTAATTAATCCTTCAAATTTTCACAAAAAGAAACCGTAGAGGATCCTTAACTCTTGCCCATATTTAATGGGACAAAGGCCACTGTTTTTGGACAAAACTAATACGTCAAATGGTTTACGTAGACTTTTCGACAAAGACCGAGAATCATGGAGAAAAGTAATAATTTGATGCAAGTGGCAATTTGCAAAACCTTGAAACTCGAGATAGGAATCGGCGTAGGAGTGCATTAACGAGGTGAGCTCCTATTAAAGTTTATACAGTAAACAATATAAAAAGTATTCTAATTTCTTATAAACTTTTGCAAAGGATATTCTTTTATCAATATAAGATTTTTTTTACTTTTATATTCTTACTAATCAAACACGTGAACAACAGGAATTAGGTGACGTGGAACACGTGTGACCGTTGGACTTCACACGTAGGCCAACTTGCTCTGATACTATGAAAAGTTAAGGTTTCACTATAAAAGTAATTAACAATATGAGAAGTAGTCTAACCTTTTATAAACTCTTGCAAGGTTTTTGCTTTCATCATTGTGGTACTCTTTTACTTTCAAATTCTCACAATTACATTATTTTAAGTTTTGAAATATGTGTAGTGCATATCATTGTTATATTTGTTTAAATTTCAAATGTGTAGAATGGTAAACAATACTAACATTTGAGAGTGATGGGTAAAAATACACCAAGTTAAAGTAAAGAATGTCAGGCTCTTGGTAGAAAAATAACCTCACTTGGTGCACGAATAAAAAGAAAAGAAAAAAGATAACTCATTTTATATCACAAGGTTTCTACAAAACACCCAATTAAGCACAGTGTGATTTGCATTACAAAAGTTTATATGCACCTCCAGCAAAAATCAACTACTTTTCAAATCTCTGATTCAACACATGTCACGGGGTGAGCTACTAGCTCACTCAGTAGGAAAGATTTTCACAAGGCTTTTTTTTTAATAATAGTATAGATTATATAAAATTTGAGTATGTAGTTTCGACTAAAAATAAAGAGAAAAACAAGGAGGCTCAATTTAACATGGCAAGCACGATACGAACACAATTAAATTATTGTTGTGAGTTGCGAAGGGATATAGGTTTCCAATATGAGATGGGCGGGTCCATCTTGTTTATTAAATGATGTAGCATGAGATCAGTCTCAAGGCTTTTAATATTGCAATTCATAAAGGTTACAGCCATACAAATACATGCTTCTTCTTGAACTTAGACAAAGTGAATGGTAACACCAAAACCAACTAGATTTTGCTTAAATATTCTCGCTGAATTATGGGAGAGCACAATAATTTGAAAAATATCTCCAGGCTCACAAATTGTTTTGATAAAAGGTCCAAAACCCGTTCTTTTCCCACGGTGAAGGTAAGTGAGTTTTATGATAAGGTACTAGGCTGACCTTAAAACCAGCATCCTTTGCCAAGCAAAAACAATCAGCCACTGCAGCTATGGTATGACCTCTATTGGTGTCCCGAGCCACACCCTCGTTTGTAATCTGAACTCCAATTTCTAGTCTTGTACAACCATAAGAAAGCATTTGTCTCTAGTGAGGTCCAAGGCAATAACCTTTGGACAAAGATGATAATGTGATGTACGTGGCAATTTGTAAACCGCGTAGGATGTATTTTGCTCGCCGACAATAATTGCGTGGTGAGGTCAATTAAAGTTGCGCTTCGAATTTGGGGTCGGTAGAAAAATAATTGGTGCACGAATAAAATAAAAAATATAATAGAAAACTCTTATTTCAAATAACAAACACAAGGTTTTGAAAAATCACCCAAGCACACTGTAATTTTAATTCACATTACAAAGGCTTATATACACTTCCAGTAAAATTCAATTACTTTTTCAGTTTCTAATTCAACACTTATCGTGCCACCGATTGACAACGGTACCATATCGATTTTATGCCGATCGATAATGACACGGTATTGTAGCAAACTGAAATTTTAGATATTTATTGGTATTCGATAATATTACTGACGATATTATCATACCGTATTGAAAAATTAGTAGAGAATAATTTATATTCATATCTAAAAGTACATATATAATATGTTCAAGAGACAAATATTTTTACACTCATTTTTTAGCCATTAGACTTTATAACATTCAATGGTCTTGATTAAGACTATTGTTGAAAAGTTTAAACCTTAAGTGACATGGATGATGATGTGAATTATAAGTAATAAATAAACAATTATATTAAATGAATAAGAATCAATTAATCCAGTAGAACTCAAAAGGAAAAAATATCAACTGGTCACGATCGTAAGGAGGAGGAGAGAAAATCCGTCTTTACTGTATGTTGATTTGATTCGATTTATACAAAATTAAGAAGCACACAAAGCGTATCGAGCAATCGCTCTTCTTTTGAATTATTTTGTTCGGTAAACTAAACTAAACCCAAAATATTTTGTTCGGTAAACAAAACTAAACCCAAAACCCTAATTCTTCATTCTTGGTATTTTGAGTGCTAAATTAGATTGTGGAAAACGATTTTTTCCCTCATTGGTCAAGCATGAGAACAATCTGAACAAGCGGGAAAACATATCATCCGATAAATGGTAATAACACATGAGTAAAAAGATCAGGAAGGTTTTTTTACCAAAAAAATTAAAAATAAAACCAGGAGATATGCGGCAGAGAAAGGGAGGTCTCCCTCTTAGACCTAGTTTGGGAGTGAGGTGCTTAAAAAAAAAGCATCCATGAAAAAAAGCTGTGAGGGTTTTAGGTGTTTGGTAAACTGAAAAAAAATGGCTTATTTTGGAAGCTGCTGTGAGAATAAGCTGAAATCAAAGGAAAAAGCTGAAGCTGCTATTTGCAGCTTTGGAAAAATGGCTTTTTTTTTCAAAGCACACGGAGCTACAGTGCTTCTTTAATGAAAAGACCCACTATTTGACTGTTTTTTTTTCAAAAGCACTTTTACAAAAAAGTTTACCAAACACTCTGCTGATTTATTTCACAGCCGCTTATTCTCACAGCACAGCCGCTTATTTTCACAGCAGCTTTTTTTCAAAGCACAACAATACCAAACCAGCCCTTACTCTCCCCCTGACTTTGAAGTTTGAACGGTACGGTTTTTTCTTCTTTTTTTTTTGTTTCAGTTTTTATTATCTTTTGTTTTTTTATTATTTATAATACTAATTATAATAAATACTTGGTAATACAGCCTAGTGATATTTTTCTTCATTTATAAGTGAGATGTCTTAAATTCGATTCTCGTCAAAAATGAATTTGAACCACATTATTGGTAGCTCATCGTGAGGGAGTAGAATTATCTTCCCTTTTTTTCCCTCTCTTCCCTCCCCTCATACTTAAACGGTCACGGTTAACCTACGTCAACATCTTATATTAACTTTTTATAGCAAAAGAAAGATAAAATAAAAGAATGTGAAAGCAGGGAAGAAATCCTAATCCCATTGTGAGACCAAAGACGAATTTATTAAATATTAATTCAGCGAAGCAGTAATTGTACATAAATGTAATGTTTTCTCTTCATGCAAAGAGAGATCATAACAACGTCCGTGGCCATGTCCTGCAGCGTACGGGGACTCTCACCGCACTCCACCAAATCATTCTCCATATTCTCCACATAACCTGTGTACTCTTTCATCCTCTTTGGTCTCGAAAACCTCACGCCATCGACATAGCTAGCGGAGCCAAGGCCGAGAGCATAGAAAGGCTTGTTCTTCCAATAAGTTAGATTGTGTTTGCAGTGATATCCGAAAGCGTCCTAGACGCCATCTTATAGAACTCAGCAGACCGCGTTTCTGAAGGCAACGGGAACTCCCCTGGTGTATACCTGCAAACAAAAAACTCCAACTTCAGGACCAAATTCATTCCAAAACTAAAACCGTAGATTTCGTGCCTTGTTCGACTTGGAGGGAACTCAACCCGAATTTCAACCTCGAACGTCTCCAAAACGGAATTCACGAGCTTTGGCGGCACAAGAGATGGCGTGCCGCTGCAAAAAACCACCTTCTCCGGAGGCCGGTCGGTCTTGTTTTCGGCTTTTGTGGAGTTGATTTCCCGGCAGAGTAACTGGAAGTAGTTTGTCATTTGCGGGTCGCCTTCGGTTTGGCGGAAGCAGCACCGAGGGCGACGATTGTGAAGTCGTAGTAGTGACAGCGCTTCCGGCAGAAAGGGAGGTGGATGTAGGCGGAAGTGGGAGGCGGGAGAATAATGACGGGGGGGTTTGGTTGAGGCATATTGTCGAACAGTTGGCGCAGTGTGTGGGAAGGAGGCAGATTCTCTGCCCTCCCACTTTCCCGTGTCCTCCCGTTTTATGTGGTCACGGTTAAATCACGTTAACATTATATATATATATTTTTATAAGAGATAATAAGACAAAAAGGAATAGTAATATAAAATGTTGACGTGGCTTAACCGTGACCATACAAACAGAAAGACACGGGAAGTGGGAGGGCAGAGAATCTGCCTCCGTGTGGGAATTAGGTGAAAGGTTGTGTGTGGCGGCAGGGGCGGATCCATTACAGGACCTGGGTGGTCCCTAGACCTTCCGGAAGATCGAAGAAGCATCTGTGAAGATCGTTGAGGACCACCCGACTGCCTGGTCCCGTGCTGGTTTTGGAATTTGCAGTGCAGCACCCAGTAAAATTCAGTACCAGTTACAAGGCGACAACTATGCATATTACTCTATCATGGAAATCTGCAAACCCGAAAATAAATTCTTTAAGCTCTAAACATATGGGTTGTATCTAAACACACAAAACCAAAAGATTAACTACCAAATTAACTTCACTAATCCAGTTTTAAACACCAATTCCTTCAAATAATCTCTTCATTACAAAGCTCTCAATTTCATGGTGAAAAATCAATCAAGCCGAAAACTTTAAACTTCGAAACGAATCATGAATAACATAAAACTTCAATTCCCTATCAAGTGTTCGATAAAATGCGTCAATGAACTAGAGAAAGCCATACCTTGCCCGAATTGCTAGTAGGCTCGTATCCAGTGTAAGACTGAGTGCTGCGCTCGAAGTCCGAATCGGGACCGCCGGGGCAGTACACGCAAATATTTCCGGTAGTGGCGATGTGGGGCCACCGATGAAGCTTCGACATCCCGGCCACGACGGCGATGCCCGAAGCGGTTGGGACCGACTTGACCCGGAGCTTGGGGAGAAGAGCCTTACGGTCCGACTCCGGCAGAGCTGCAATCATTTGAGCAGCTTCGTCGCACGTGAGAGGCCGTACTTGCGGTATGCGGTGGTCTAGAGGGCGTTTAGATCGACGTTTTGGTCCTTCCGGGAGAGGTTGACCATGGAGCTGACGATTTCGGCGATGGCCCTGACCCGGGCCTCTTCTTCGGATAGTCCATGGGCCTCGAATCCGCCCCGACCAGCTCGGGGTTGCTTTCTGGCGGGCTCGGATACTGGCAGCACTGCAGTCGCCATGGGAGAGAAAAGGGAGGAAAAAAGGTTATTTCAAAATTTTAAAAAGTTTATTTTGTCTTTATCATTAAAATTCAGAATTTTCAAGTCATTTTCGTTAATTTTTTTAATTTTAAAAGTTAGGCATCTATGTCAAAACGCCTTTTATTTTTAGTTCTTTTAATTTTGTTTAAACTAAAAAATAAAAATTAATTGTAAATTAAAAAACCTTTTTAATCCAGCTGTAAGAAACTGCACACATGTTAAAATTTGAATAGAAGTATCACCGGCCTACGTAGTAATACCGTACCATCTAATAATTTTTCAAGTGAAATCATAGTGAGCTAAAACATCCACCATAAAATTTACCTCTCTAAAACAATATATATTTGAAAACTTGATAAAAAAATAAAAAATATTGAAAATGAAAAATGGGTCATAATCATTGATTTAGTTAGAATTGGTCTCATCAATGACATATTCAGTTCCAAATCAATATTATTATATCAAAATACACGCAAGCAAATAATAATATAAGTTCCTGTTACACAAACAGAATCTTGGGCATTATTCTCATCAATGACAGATTCAGTTCCAAACCAATATTATTACATCAAAACACACGCAAGCAATTAATAATATAAGTTTCAGTTACACAAATAGAATCTTGGGCATTATTCAATTTCACAAAGGGCAAATAAGAAACCAAGATCGATCAATGTTTGCAACTTCACACAACACACAAACAATAGACGAATTCTTCCTTGCAAGGCGAATCACTCAACACGTATATAGTCAGCTTTGTTACTATAACGAAAGTCGAGATTCACCGTAAAATCAACTGGCACAAAGGAGAACTCACTGCAGTCTTACAAGTGCTTATGAGGCTTGATTCTACAAAAAGGACATTAAAAAACAAAAGAAACACAGTTACTAAATAAAATCTCAATGCATGCATATTTTGTCTTTGCCGGACTTCTATATAAGATTGGACAGGCAAACTGTGAGGGAAAATGATTTTTACACTCCGATGCACTACTTCCTCTTTTTCATGGCCTAATAAATCAAAACACTAACGAATCAAAACAAGAGGAGCGCATAAGAAAAAAAAAAGGAGTATAAAAATCACCAACCTTTTAACTTTCTAACGTAATAGTTCAAATAATTAAGTTGTGGAATACTTTTTTACAAAAATATTACTTTTACCACATTTGTATCACCTCTCTAATAGAAATGAGATCCATATGTGTCGATGAGCTCTACCTCTATAAAAAAAATATGGTACAAATGTGATACAAAAAATGTGGTAAGTCTAACAGTAATAAATTTTTTATGCAAGGATAAAAGTGTGCATACCTTTTGCGAGAGTGAATACCAGAAAAGCTTTTATGGTACCATATATTTTCTCTCTCATAATGCAGGTGGATTTCAGGAATATGTTGCACCTTTGGATGATCCATGCCTCCTCTTACGGACTCTATAAGTTGCATTGGAACAGAAGACAGCGTCAAGCGTTCTACGTTAGCAAGGAACTCAATGCCCTGCGGCAATGCCTTTAACTCTAGGCAGTACGCAATGGATAAGAGCTGGAGATTTGGCATCGCCCCTTTCTCTATAACTATACTATTCAATACCGGGAAACTGCTCAACACCAAATCCTTAAGCTTTATGAAGCCTCTGGAGAAACACAATTTTTTGCCAACATATGCATTAAATAGCCCAAGCGTTTCAAGATTCGGCAATGCTTGAATGTGAGGTAGCACATCTTCTTCCAGTCTAGACCAACGTAGATACATACGTGTCAGGTTATGGAGTGAACCAAACCAAAGAGGTACCTTTTCTAGTTTTCCGGCCAAAATAACCTTTTGAAGGTCTGGAGGAGGCGAACGTAGTGCATTAACTCAAAGAAACTCCTCTTCATCACTTGCCATTAAAGACAAATCGTGAAGGAGCTCTAACTTTTGAAGGGAGTCACAGAGGTCCATCTCGTCACTTGCTTTCACATTTGTAATACCGAGGCTTGTAAGTTGGGTCATATTCCTGATGCCTTTAATAATCTTTCCTTCTGATTCAACAGAATCCAAAACTTGCAGTTTCTGTAATTTACTTAGATCCGATGCTGTTTTAGTCCCACTGACATGTCTAAAGACTGCCAAATCACCAATGTAACTATACATGATTAGATGGCGTAGGTTTACTAACTTGGAGATTGCTTTTGGAAGTGCCTTTATCTTGCTGTCACAAATGTTCAACGTTTGAAGATTGTGAAGCCTTCCGATGGATTCTGGAAGCTCCTTAATCAAAGTTTTCTTCAAATTTAAATATCTTAAGTTGAACAAGTACACTAGTTCATCTGGAAATCTATCAATTGGAGCATCCTGCACATCTAGAACTCTCAACAACTTGAATCCAGAAGGCAATTTCTCTAACGCGCCAAAGACAAGAAATGAGCGAAGCTCTGACATACCTGTGCAAGAATTAATTTCTCCTTCAGTTGTTTGAATTGACAATCGGCGGATTTCAGCTTTATCTATTATTTCTCTGCCAACACACGTAGCACCGAAATTTTCCTTCTTTGATATCGACAAAGCAAGCTCACGCACAAGATCATGCATCTTACATGCTCTTAGTCCTACAGTTTCATGCTTTTCAACTTGTAGAATGCTACGAACAATCAGTTCCACAAGATAACCCTCTGCAACTTCTTCTGGTGTGACCCCATCAATTGGTTCAACAAACCCTTCAGCTATCCACAACCTGATCAACCTTTTTCTTTTGATGAGATAATCTTCTGGGAAAAGGGCACAATATAAGAAACATGGCTTCAACCGGTTGGGCAAATTGTTGAAACTAAAGCAACAAGATGCTGCTCATTGGTTCCAGCATAGGATGGTTAGTCAAGTGCCAATTTAAGCTGTTATATACGCTTCTCCATTCCGATGATGACCTCTTGGAAGACATTAGACCACCTAAAGTTACCACTGCCAGAGGTAGGCCTTCACACTTATCCACAAGTTTCCATGCTAAGGATTCAAGCTCTGGTGGACAAGATTTATTATCGTAAGTTGAGAATGCTTTCTTGCTAAAGAGCTCCCAAGCTTCATTGTTTCCCAAGGGTTCAATTTCAATAGGACGACTTTCAACTTCAAAAGAATAGAATGCTATGTCTTTCTTTCTAGTTGTAAGCATGATTCGACTTCCATGATGTCTATTAAGAAGTGGTATCCTTATTTCTTGCCAAAGTTTAATGTCCCACACATCATCCAATACAACTAGGTACCTTTTAGACTTCAAGTATGTCGACAACATCTCTAACAATTCTTTGTAACTCATGGAATCCAATTGTGCAGTCACCTCTTCCTTTCTTCCTTGGTGGAATTGCTTGATCAGATTTTTTAATAAGTCTTCGATCACAAAAGTTTGAGAAACAGTGATCCATGCATAACAGTCAAAATGCCGCTTTACATTTTCGTTGTTGAAGGTATTGGCAACAAGAGTTGTCTTGCCTGATCCTCCCATCCCGACTATAGACACAACCATTTCATTTTCCTCTCCATTCATCAATAACCCCATTAACCTTTGCTTCTTGTCTTCAATCCCGATTAGTTCGTCTTCCATAATATAAAAGAGAAGACTCGGCTTTGTTCTTCACCCATCTGGGAACACTATCCGAAGTTGTTCCTTCTATTGTAGAGACACCATATCTCTCATTCCTCTCTGGAATGGCTTTGATCTTTTTTGTGATTTTCTGTAATTTTTTGGCTATTCGATGCTGATGCCAAAGATTCTTTGGAAAGTAAATGGTTCTGTGGAGCAATTTTGCAAATGGAGTCGCACTCTTCTTGTCATATATGTGATACATGAACTCATCAATGACATTTTCAGCATCGCAGGTCAAATCTCTGACGCTTGTAACCCACGTTTTCTCTCCTTCTGTTTGTGGTTCCTTGCCTTCAGCATCTATTAAGAAAGATTTCATGCTTATGAGCTCCAGCTTAAGCTCATCAACTTCATCACGGACTGCCGCTATGGAAGATGCTTCGTTCTCAAGAATGAACGCAATTTTCCCAATCAATAGTGATGCAGCTGACTCCATTTTGGCTTTCGATACTTGGTATGCAATCTGTCTGCAGAAAAGACAAGTTTCAAAACAACAGAAAAAGAAAAAAAGAATGTAGTGGATAAATTTTTGTATTTAACAAACTATGTGCTTAGTTTTCAAAACGAAACCAAGATCTAAATAAGGTACTTAAGAAATTTAAATTTCTGTTCTTAACTTTCATTCAGTTTAACAAAGGGCCAAACTTCAAAAGTCCGAAAACTACTTCTCGAGTCTTTTTTGCAAGAACACAGAATTAAAGAATTTGGTGCAAGAACAAAAATCTATGATTGAAAATTTCGAACTCATTCAATCTAATTCTTCTACCAATTGTCATGGATTTTTGTCAGTGTTAAGGATAACCAAAAGTTTCAATTCTTTGTAGGTGGCAGTTGACAAGTACCACAAAATTGTTGTTAAATGAAAGTACACACGTCGAAAGAACGGAATGTTTTGGGTATAGTAGATTGAACTCTACACAAATACCAGACACTTTTTTTTTCACGACCCGTTAATCAGACATTGAACGACAAAGAAATAACAGGTTTTGGGTCAACATGTTAACCACTGCTCTAAAAATCCCAACAGCGCCCGGCGGTTGGCCACCGCCCCGATTAATGCCTAGGAATTTGCAAATTAATAAATGACGCCTAGACCTACTAAGGCGCCCGCCTAGACCCGCCTATACAAAAAATAGATAACTTTTACTTTGCATTTTATTTTTTCAAGATATTGTAATAGACTTGTTGAATACTTTCATTTTTTTCAATAAATTGTTATAGGCTTTACAGAAAATAGAAAATTTTCATTTTGCATTTTATATGTTCAATATATGTAATAGTGTCATGCCCCAATCGACATGTTCGGAATCGACACGCGACGGTAGAACAGTAGTAGTACAATATAAAATACATAAGAGTCACTGAGACTCATACATATAATATACATCAGAGCTTAGCGGAAATAGCTTACAACAAAGGGTGGCAATCCTATTCTCTAATGCGATGCCCACACAGCTGCATAACCTGCAACCTTCTTCTCTAACCTCTACCCATTGCTCTGCAAAATAACCCTACGCCTTGGGAATGGTGCACCAGGCAAATCAAAACCCGGATAAGCTACGAAGTAGTGTTATGTCCTCACATGACTTTTCTCTGAATACTGGGTCAATTTAATCACCGTCAATATCATTATGTCATTCTCTTCGAATTGTAACTCACCACTAGCCTTTCTCATTTTCCGAATAATCACAAGGGTCCAATTGCCACATATTTCATAATTTAACCACCATACACCTCATTATACGTATAGGAATGGTTAATCAATTTGAATCTCACCACACGTCTTCTAACAACATTCTTAGTCATCACACAACCCGAAGTTGTGTATGAATGACACAACATCAATAATACAATCACGTGTAGGAATGAGATTGGTATCTATTTCATCATTACAACTCTTCGTTATGAGTAGGAATGAGTTACATCCGAAATCATTCTCTTTAAGGCAACACCATCATGTAAACTATTTGATTCAATTCACTTTCTAGATTGAGCCACACATGCCTTCAATCTCATCTTTCATATATGTAATAAATAGTCTAGGGCTATAGAGAGACACAGTTTGGCCGAGGCCTACAATAGGTAACCAATTAGGATGTGGTCCCCCCCTCCCATAACGGATTAACCAAGCAAGCAGAGTCACTCCTACTGATACTAATAGAGAGTGATCACCCATTGCGGATTAACCAAGCATGATCACCCCTGAATATGTATGGACATACCTAAATAATAAGGATCACTCATCCTGGATTAACCAAGCACGATCCCAAAGTAGTATGGTCCCCCATTGCGGATTAACCAAGCACGACCATCCATGTACCACTTCTACATGGTGCAGATTCTGATTTTATCCACATTACCCCATGTATTGGGTTAACGGTCTTCTACTAGCCCTCATGTACCACAATCTTTTCAGGCATAACATATATATATTTTCCAATAGCATCATCAAGTAAACATAGCATAGTGGCACACATTTCCATAAAATCATTTGTAAATTCATGTTATATCCACAAAGTACATAACAAGGAAATTCTCATGGGTATTAACCATATCATATAATATTAAAGTCACTCACCTGGGTTATTTGCACTTTCGGATTCACCGACTCCGCTCCAAGGAACCTAATACAATACACAAACCCCACTTAAGAAACTTAATAAGACCGACACATAAAACGAGACCAAGTGCCACTTGAACGTAAATCGAGATGCATGTCAACCGAGAACCACACACCATTGAAATGAGACAACTAAGCTCCATCAAGCCTCAATAACATTCTATAACAACGACACTCTAGAATAGGGCACATTGACTAAAAAGTCAACCGTCGATAAGTAGGTCCTCTAAGGTCAACAACGTAGGTTATTTAATTCGGGAGATTAGCACATCGGATTTCCAATCCATAAGTTCTCAAAGATCAAACAACTAATAACTAGGATGCTCAAAAAATTGTACGACAATCCAACAATTAGATTGTCATCAATTACAAAAATCATACTCAATTATTCCAAAAATTGAATAATCGAACCATCGTAATGAATGGATTTTGGATAAGGGCTCAGGACATCGAGAACGTCTCGCTGTCCAAAATCCATAAATTTTGACTTTCACTCGCGCCGCCACACATGGTGGTTTCTCAATTTTCAGACTAACTCCAAATTCTACCAAAATTTACAAGAAGATAGAGCTCAAGGTAAGGATCAACTTTTATACCTGCAACAAAGTCCAAAGGTCGACGGAAGATCATAAAGCAAATTCAATTTAATGGTACAAATCAATAGCTTACCCCTTTCTATTATACAAGCAACATTGATGAAGAAGAAATCGAATTCAAAATCTTGTGTTCAAGGCTGAATGCTCTAAATCTGAGTGACATATATAATAAGAGAAAAAAGTAAAACAAATGATGAGATAAAGCTCATAAGCACGTAATACTTTATTCCAAATATATTCTAGAAGGATATCTATGGTAGTAAGAGTGCATAATAACATACTCAGGGGCATACGGAAGCTCACAAAAGAGTTGCAATGATTGGACTCCTTGTTGATGAGCTCGATGAATATATGAAATATGAGACGGAGACGAAGATTATAATCTATGGAAATTAAATATGAAATATGAGACGGAGATGAAGATGGAGACGAAGAATATAATCTATGAAAATTGGAAAATAATTACGGCATGAGACAAAGACCAATACTTTTGGACAAAAACCAAAACTTTTGGACAAAGACCAATTCTTCGATATTCGTGGCAATTTGTAAATCGTCTTCTGAAACCGAGTAGGTTGTATTTTTCTCGCCACCACCTATTGAAAAAAAATAAACTACTTTTCAATTCTCTAATTCAACACTTGTCATGGGTGAGCTACTAACTCAATAATGTATGAATGTAATGTTCTCTCCTTATTTTATTAGGGTTGTGATTTTCACACACCCTTAATTACCTTTCCCACATCCCTTCTTATTTTTTAATACTTAATTGATATCTTACTATTTACTCTTCTATATATACCCTTTTTACTTTTTGACCATTGAAATTTTAAAATACTTTTGTTATTTTATTTTAAACTTGTTTTTTTCTTTTTCTAACACTCAACCATATATTCCTTTTGTAACTCAAGCTCTACTGCCTAATCTGAGAGATCCCAAAACAAGTATAAAACACCTATTATATAAATAAAAATAAAACGATTACCTAATGATATAGCATATATGCATAAGTTACATGAATTGTACAAAATACTAGTAAGCAATCCACATACACTTTAATCCCCATAATAGTAGCCTCATGCCCCAAAAAATACATCAGATATCATTACAAGCTTTCACATTCTACCTACACTATGTTTGGCCTTTAATCTTGTGTTCAAAAGGAGATGTCAATATTACCAAAAAGATATGAAACCCATGCACTCCAACCTACAAGAAAATAAAAACATGTCAACAAAAGGAAAGAAAATTACAAACTTAATTAGTATTTTTATGGGGAAAAATCAACAAAAATATATGTACCTTAATGTGTTCTTTACACATCTAAGCTATTATTAACAAAAAGTTTCTTTGGCAAATCATTATGCTCATCACACCTATAAACAATGAACATTAAGTTATACGTATATATAAATAATCATGACCATAGTAGACAATATTAAAAGATAAATAAAAAAATGACATACCCGTCGAGCACGTTTTTGAGCCTTCTCCACTATTTCAAACTTTGAAGGACCACGCTTTGTAGAGCTTGATTCTTTTCTATTTTTAGAACTCATTGGACGACCTTTGTGAGGTTTAACATTAGGCTCAAGAGTTAATGGAAGAGAAGTATCAATAAATTCACAAAGTTGCCTTTTGGTATCCTCTTTTTGAGTAAGAGGCAACTTTTCATACTTATCTTTAAACTCCAATAGAAGGCCGCTTATTTGATCTTATTCATTGTCCAAGCTTACATGACGATCATTGACAAACAATCTTCTATCAATCCTCCATTATGGATGTATGTCATTATGGATGTATGTCATTTAGTTGCAAGACTTCAATATTCATCTCTCTAATCATGTGAGCACAAGGAAGACCCATTGTCTTGAGAAAATGACCCTTACATTGAGATGGAAGATCAGAAGAACTTGATGCTTCATATTGATTATATAACTCATTCAATGCAAATCTAGATACATGAGTAACAACCTCTTTGAAGAAGGGAAGTCGAAACTTGTGTGAAACTCTAACTTTTTCACTTGAAAGTTGAGTTTTGATTTCTTGAAATTGATTTTCAATAGCAAGGCATATTTTTTCTTTTACCTCGCGAAGACCTCCAGTTGAAACTTGAAGATATTTTTTTAGCGTTGCATGTGCACCTTCGGCTCTTGAAGTAACACGGTTACCAAAGTGGGTAACTTTCTCTGACCATGCACTTACAAACTTTTCTTTGTATGGAAGCCAAGTACCAAGAATATATTTCAAAACAAATTTTCTTCTCCTCGTACTTAACTTCAAAACGACTCCAAGCTTCATTGAATGATGTTTCATTAGGAGATTGGATTTAAAATTGTCCAAGTAGAAATGAAATCAATCCAATCAACTTCTTCCTCAAAATGAGCTTTACAATTTGCAAGTATATTTTTCTCAATATGCCACACGCACAAAAGATTGGAAGTACTCGGAAAGACAATGCGTATAGCATTCATTAATGCCAACTCCCTATCCGTTATAATCACCATAGGATGATTATCAACTCCCAAAATCTTACTAAACATTTTTAGAGCCCACACATAATCCTCTTCTTTCTCATTTTGCATGAAAACAAAACAAGAATAAAAGGATGTGTTGAAACTTGTAACTCCTATGATATCCAATAATGGCATCTTATACTTGTTGGTCTTATATGTGCAATCCATCACAAAAACATATGGGTAGCTCTTGGTCAACTCTATAGACAAGGGTTGAGCAAAGATCAAATGAGTCAAGTGGCCTTCATGATCATACTCAATGTTATAAGTGAAACCACCTTCACCAAGTTCTTCTAATAATGCTTGAATAACTGGACGCCCAGCTAGACTCTCCTTCACAATCTTAGCTCTTAGATTATAGATGTTTCGAGAAACTACTTGAAGATGAGGATTGCCTTGCCGAAGCGAAGATAGAATTTGGCGTGGTGGTATACCAACCTTACTCATTTCTTTAATTCGTAAGATTTCCTCTTGTGAAAATTGACGACAAGAAGGATGTCCACACATGTCATTTGAAAGTTCATGGTTATGCAATAAACTTTTTATCTCTAGCTTCCAAAATTCTTCACATTTCTTTTTACGCCCTTTGACTTCAAATGGACAATTTATGAGGCGAGATCCTGAGTTTTTTTTTCTTTCATCTAGTGAAGTTTTAGAGGCTCGATAATCCCCACCTCTATCACAACCAATAGCAACATATGTATTTGTCTTAGATCTTCTAATAACGGTTGCAAACCCTTGCATTAATGCTATCTTACGAACTTTCCCGATGAGGTCTTCTCGACTTTCAAAACATTTCGCCAACAAAGAGAGCATTTTATCAGGCTCATCAATCGTTGGTTGACTTCCTATATATCACAAACCAACACATTTATATATGTAGAATATATACTTTTTATCAATGGACTAGACATTTAAGTATCAAATTTATACCAAAGCATTGTATGCATTATATCAAGTTTACACCAAAACATGGAGCCTAGGTAAAACCACAACAATTAAACCTAATACCAATTTACCATTAAGTTAAAGTGTATTGGGGACCAATAGATTCCAATAGAAAATTAATTTCCCCAAAACCAACACAAATCAATATTCTCTATTATAGAGCATTGCCGTGTACATGAGAGAAAAATATGTTATAGAGCATTGCTCGGTGCATTCACGTAAGCATGGTAGTTTTTAATCTTTTGCTCCTTAGTCTCTGAGCATTGCCTAATTTTTCGTTATTCTTGTAAAAAAAATTCTGATGTCAAAAACATTTACAAACTTAGTTTCGTGATTTTCTTATTTCTTCCCCTGGATTCAGTTACTTCATTGTTACATGATACATTTATCTTAAACCACCAGTATTCATTCATTCAATTATCATTTGAACCACAAATTAGGGAAAGAAAAAACTAAACCTAAAAAACAAATTGAGGCAAGAAGAGAACAAAAACCCTAAATTCCAAAATCAATCTTAATAATTTGAGAAAATACTTTAGAAAATTACCATCAAAAGTGTTAAGAGGAGGAATGCATTCTGAAATTTCTTCCATGCCATCCTCCTTGCATGCCATATCCAATATCTTCTGCAACTCAATGTTCATCTGGGGTTCTTCATCTGTTATTATTAGGTCATCCATTGTGGTTTTTCACAAGAAGTAATAAAGAGGACAGGGGAACGGAAAGAGAAGAAGCAGTGGAAATTTCAGAATAGGTCTCGTTGGGCTCGGCGGAGGGAGTGGGAGGCTTCGAAGAAGCAGTGGAAATATTTGCGACGGCGAGGGAATCGGGCTGCGAGAGGTGTCTGGGTTTGGGGAAAAAGCAGGAGGTGTCTGGGTTTTGGGGAAGAAGCGGGAGAAAGCAAGGGAAAAAGCAGGGGAGTGGGAAGAATCGGGCTGCTACTCCAATCTACAACACAATCAAAAAATAAAAAACAACTTTTAAAAGTCAAAAAGTAAAAAGGTATATATGGAAGAGTAAATAGTAAGATATCAATTAAGTATTAAAAAATAAGAAGGGGTGTGGGAAAGGTAATTAAGGGTGTGTGAAAATCACAACCCTTTTATTATGTTAACCCAATTAACAGATAACTCAATTTCTTTTTTTAATAATCATTTTTCAGTCCACGAATTTGAAATCAAATATGACCATTTTATCAGACATTATCTGAGGGGCTTCGCTCCCTTATTTAGTGACTTTAGGCTAAACATAGATTTTGGTACTCCGAGAATGAACTCGCAACTACTTTTTACTTTTATGTTTTATAAATCTCATATTTTATTAATTGAAGACTCCAACGAATGATCGTAATTATTCATTTTCATTAATACTCCCGCAACAGTTCCACCATGCATGATATATTTATAGTTCAGAATAAATTCTATATCAATCTACCAAAGTGCTATGGCTTATTTCTTGCCAAACTTTAGACTCCAAGTAGCTCAACATCTCTACCTTTTCTTGACCACTCTTTTAAATAAGTCTTCAATCACATAGGTGGTCTGGGAACACACCAATCATGCGTACCAGTTAATCATTGATGCCTGGATGGTCTCCTTGTTAAATATAAACCAGCAGATCACTCTGAGTGAACAATTTCATTTTTTATTTATTAAATAATATGATTAGATTTAAAAAAAAAAAATTATTTTTGAAAAATGGGACAATAATGGGACAGATTCTTCTAACGTGGACATATCTTTTATTATTTTAATATATTACATAATTATTACTTTGTCCTTATATTTATAAATATTGTGTACTAAAAGTAAGGTTAACATAGGAAAATTAAGAACATGGTTGTCATTTTAAGAAAGTTGACAAAGCTCTTTGCTTAATAATAGTACTAGTGGACGCCCACATATAAAGTGTGTGTGAACGTTTTTTATTTTTGTTCTTAAAATAAAAGAAGAGAGAAAGTGAGAAAAAACATAGGAGCGGGGACAGAAGGGAGAGTGACTTCTTTTTTTTCAAATATTAGAGACATGTTATAATCACATGTAGTTGAAGTTTAAGGAAACAAAAAAAAAAAAGGTGAGATTTGGTTTGTGTGGAATCACATTATTGCCCATATTTTTTATTTATGTTCAGCCATACAAACTAGGGGTGGTTCGGTATGGGATCCCATACCAAAACCCTTGTCCCGATTCCCATACCGAAATTTTCGGGAATCCCAATTTCAATACCGATCCCAAACCAAATTTTCGGGAATCCCAATTTTCGGGAATCCCGAAATAGTTTCGGGATTTCGGGACAAATCGGGAATCCCAAAAATAATTTTGGGCTTTTGGACAAAAAAAAGCTAATATTGGTCCAATTGGACAAAAACCTAATATTGGGTCTGCCCACTGAATGTAACAGCCCCCACATATGGGCTTAACTTTTATTCAACCAAATAAAAAAAATATTGGGCAAACCTGCAATGTTTATAAGAGCAGTTCAGCTGCATTTTCCACTTGTATGGTAGCCAAGGTTTTAAAATAAATAAAGTAACAAACCCAAAAGCAAAAAAATTAGTTACAATCTAAAGTTTTAATAATTAAGTTACAAACCAAAAGCAAAAAAATTAGTTACAATCCAAAGTTTTAATAATTAAGTTACAATCCAAAGTTTTAATAATTAAGTTACAAACCAAAAGCAAAAAAATTAGTTACAATCCAAAGTTTTAATAATTAAGTTACAATCCAAAGTTTTAATAATTAGGGTACAAACCGCGCAGGGTCTCTGCACCTAAAAGAATTGCATCACTTCCTGCACAAAAAGAATGTGCAATACAGAGATAGCATTACAAAAGAGAAGCAAGATGGAATTGTATTTGCAGTATGATTAAAAACCCATATTTCCACATTCGATCTTCCCACTGCAAATCGAGAAAATTCATATAAATCAATGACAGAAATCTACAAGTAGCAACATTATAATTCACAATGCTCCATACCTGAGCAAGAACAATAGAATCTAATACACTCTCTTCTTCTTCTCCTTCTAGCACGCATGAAATGCGTCCAGCACAACCATCATCCAATATCGAATTGCTACCGAAGCGGTACAAGGGGATTTTTATACCTGTAAACATTCCTTCATTAATACTCGAAAAAAATCCATGGGAACGATAAAAGCAACAAAATTTTGAAGTCCTTCTGATAGTATAAATCGATCGAAAAACAACACGATCAATACAAATATAACAAGAAAATAACTAAAAAACAGATACTACTCAATAAAATTCAACCACAAATATTCAAACCCATCAAATCAAAAGCAAGAAAAATCATAAACCTTGCACAGAAAATGGAGAGCATTGTGATAAAAAGTTACCATCTTGAAACTGCTTAACCGTAACCATTTCCTACAGCTTAATAAAAAACGAAGTGTTCTGAAAAATGACGAAAAACCCAGAAGGGGAAACACAGGCGGTCGTCGTTTTCAGCAGCAACCACCGCCGGCAAGGAAGGTGAGATCGGAGGGATGCCCACCGGCCGAGGGTAGGGCGCCGCGACCGCCGTGAAACGAAGGGCATGCAAGCAGCGAGTTCAAAGTTCAACCAAGCAGTCTTAAATCCCAAACATTAATTCAAACAGAACAACATATACATCCAAAACAGTCTTAAATTTACAAGTAAGAAACACGGAAGTTACGAACTTTTTTTACCTGAGGTGGAGGAAGAAGAAGAAGGAAGAGGATGCCTGAGGTGGACCGTGGGTTGTGGAAGGAAAGGACGAGGAAGAAGTGAAGTAGTGAACTCTGCAATTCGTCAAGTGTGGTGGTGGGCCGGTGGCTGGCCGGAATTCGTCACAGAGAGAGAGAGATGAGATGAGGGCTCGTCGGCTAGATGAGGGAGAGATCAGAGACGAGAGAAGAGATTAGGGTCGGCTAGAACGAAAGTGAAGTTTGTGAAATGGTTGTGAAATGGTTTCTGACCTAAAAACATATGAACGGCAAAGATTAAATCTAAAACAATGAACGGTTGAAATAATTCTCTTATAATTAAAAGAAAAAAAATATATATATATTATATAATATTTATTTTCGGTTCGGTATGGGAATACCGAAAATTTGAGATTCAAAACCGAATCCCGTACCGAAAATATCGGTTTGGTTCGGGATTTTTGGTTTGGGATTTTTTTGGTTTGGGATCGGGATTTTTTCGGTTTGGTTTGGGATTTTTGGGATTTTTGGGATTTTTTTCCAGCCCTAATACAAACACATACTTCTTCTTGAACTTTTAGATAAAGTGAATGATAACACCAAAACCAATTAGATTTTGATAAGGGGTGTGCTATCCACACATCTCAAATTACTTCTCACACACCCTTTGTTAATTTATATCCGTTAATCTTCTTCAATTTATCCGATCTGAAGGCCGAAAATTAGAAGGATGTGTGAAAAGTAAAATGAAGTGTGTGAATATCACATATCTTTTGATAAATATTCTCGCTTAATTATGGGCTCACAAATTGTTTTGATGAAAGATTAATCTCCTGTCACTGTAGATATAAAAGGTCCAAAATCCGTTCTTTTCCCACGGTGAAGGTAAGTGAGTTTTATGATAAGGGACTAGGCTGACCTTAAAACCAGCATCCTTTGCCAAGCAAAAACAATGTCACGAGCCACATCCTCGTATGGACTCCAATTTCTAATAAGGCCATCTCCAACCGAATGGTCCAGAGGGCCAGAAGGCCGAAAGTAACCCTAAAACCGTCTCAAACCGAGGGCTAGGCCAGAGGGCTCGGGAATCTGGGAGGGCCCCACAGAATTTCAAAGGGCCAAAGGGCTGGCTGCTTTCGGCCAGCCAGCTAGCCCCGGGCTGACTATTTTTTTTTTAATGTTTTGTTATTCCTGTCGGTTATAACCGACAGGATTTATTAAGAAAAAATTCAAATGAAACAGCTACTAGCCGTTGCATTTGATTTGATTTTTTTTTACATTATTATTATTTGTTTCATATTTTTTTTCCTATAACTTCTATTTCACAAAATTTGTTTCATATTTTTTTTAAATTTCATTTTTTTCTATAACTTCTATTTCACAAAATTTGTTTCATATATATTTTTTTAAATTCTATTTTTTCCTATAACTTCCTAAGTCATTATACAACATTAAATTAAATTAAGTAACATGAAACAACATTAAACAACGGTTAGCTAACGTCATGCTGACGTCACTTAGCCGTTGAATTTGAATTTAAGTTGCAGTTTTTAAATAATAAATTATGTTTAGCCCTATGGCCCTTTGGCCATCGGTTGAAGACGGAGGCAAATATGACCATGTACTATTCAATAAAAATATTAATATCTTGGAGAATTTTAGAGGGCCAGAAGGCTAAAACGAGTCATCTGATCAGCCATCGATCGGAGATCGCCTAAAGTAATCCGCGGGCAACGACATGAAAGTACCGCCCATTAAGATGAGCTCGACCTGAAAACACAAATTCAGTACCAGTTATAAGGCGACAACTATGCATATTACTCTATCATGGAAATCTGCAAACCCGAAAATAAACTCTTTAAGCTCTAAACATAGAACAGACCAAACCTTGTCTACACTGTGACCCAATCTCTTCAGCTGATCTATCCTGCTTCTAGCCTGGACATATGGGTTGTATCTAAACACACAAAACCAAATGATTAACTACCAAATTAACTTCAATAATCCAATTTTAAACACCAATTCCTTCAAATAATCTCTTCATTACAAAGCTCTCAATTTCATGGTGAAAAATCAATCAAGCCAAAAACTTTAAACTTCGAAACGAATCATGAATAACATAAAACTGGAATTCCCTATCAAGTGTTCGATAAAATGCGTCAATGAACTAGAGAAAGCCATACGTTGCCCGAATTGCGCGCAAGCTAGTAGGCTTCTATCCAGTGTAAGACTGAGTGCTGTACTCAAAGTCCGAATCGGGACCACCGGAGCAGTACACGCAAATATTACCGGTGGTGGCGATGTGGGGGCACCGATGAGGCTTCGACATCACGGCCACGACGGCGATGCCCGAGGCGGTCCGGACCGGCTTGGCCCGGAGCTTGGAGAGAAGAGGTTTAGCACCGCCGTTTCTATGCTTCAACTCGGGTTTGTTAAGGTTTAACAGACTTTCTGGTTTTTTGGTCAATTAGCTAAACAAAATTATTCTCCAAAAATTACTAGAAAAAATAAAACTATTTTTATTTTTAACTTTTGGGTATGACATTAAAAAGGAAAGGATATTTGATAATAAATATATTTTTTATGCTTGATTTGGCTTAAATTATAAATTATTACAGAGAAGGTTTGCAAAAATTTGTTTTTTATAATATTTATTTTAATTTTTAAACTATTAAACGACATAAATAAAAAATAAATCTAAAGACTTAAATAAAAAAGATAAATACAGAACAAAAGACGATAAAAATTATTTTCGCAAACTTTCCCCATTAATTGCAAATGGTATAGGAAAAAAAGTTTAAATTAAAATTAACATAATAAAAACTAAAAAATTTGTGTATTTTTGGAAATCAAACGCAGCCGTGAGGTCTCGAAACGGTCTCTTCCCGAAACTGATTATTTTTCCGCCGAAAAAATAGACTCACTACGTATCGGTGAACAAAAAATCGGCTGCAAGAAGCTTCAGATTGATGCAGAGAGAAACAAACAAACGTGGAGGAGAAGGCTCCAAAACATGAAGCGAAGTGGAAGAGAAGAAATCGCAGCCGTGAAGAAGGCGAAGCACGTATACCAAGTCATCTGCGCGCTTGTTCTTCTCTTCCCTCTCGACGCCTCTCTTCTCTCAGGTAACTTTCCAACTTCTACCCGAGTTCCTGAAACGCCTGTTTGGTTTCCGAGAAATTTCCAAAACCAAAAGATTGAACTTTTTTCACTTTTTGTGTCGTTTGATTGTAAGTGAAAGAATGATTTTTTGGAAGTTGAATGATGTGAAATTTGGAACTTCAAGTGCTATTGACGAGCAATACAGAGAGCAGGTGAGCTAATGAATTTGGCAAATTTGTGAATTTTATCGAAATTTATTTGTTGCTGCGATTTTTCTTGAGTTCTGAGCTTTTGTTGTTGTGTTGTGTGTGCAGCTACTTAGTTCCGAGGCTCCTTCGGCAGATGAGAGGAGAGAGTGGTGGCACGCATTCTATGGAGGAGCCGCATTTTCGTCATCTGCTCGGTTTCCGTTAATTGGTATTTTTTTTTAGCTCTAGTTACCTTGCCATTGTGTTTTTAAAAATTTATGTGTATAGAATTCCCTTGAAATATGTCGGCTTTTATTTGGCTGTAAATTTTGAAAATTTGAGTTTTGGGAAGAAAACTATGCGTCAAATTACCTACGCTCCAGGCCGGTAGAGAATGGCGTTGAATCAGATGGAGTTTATGAAATCTTAAGATCATAACTGATGGTTGATTTTCCTGGAGATTGGCTTGAGGGTACTTTGGCATCTCTTTCGGTGGTTTTGGTATGCCATTGTTTTTGTATATCGACACCTTTTTTCGCATGCCTTTACGTATGAATGTTCTGTCGCTGCGCGCAGATCTTGCTAAAAATCCCATTGCAGTAGAGAGAAGTTCATTGTTTTATTATACTTCTCTTGGAATTTTTTGTCCCTTAATCTTGCAATATTAGATGCATCTGCAACTATAGGCCTTTCCATGGAAAACATGTCTAAAAAAGAATTAAACGAGACCAAGGATGTGATGCACTCAATTCTCAAAGGAGTGAACTGTAAATACTTCTCCGTGTCTCTATCAGTATTCTCTCCTCCAACGCCAGTGGTCATTATCATCCCGTTATATCTTGTCTTTGCTGGCAGGTAGGCTAGAAAGCCCTAATCATTTAATTCGGCAAATGGCCATCAGTATTGCTTGTGTTCTCCAAGGTGATAGACCCCAACAATCCTCTATACCTTGATGATAGCTGCACTGGGGACACTATCGACTGGGAGTTTGGGTTGTCATACCCTTGAAAAAAGAACTCCGGGCACCTCAAATTGCATACAACAGGGTATCGACAATCCTGAAACATCTACCTCAGTGCTGAAAAAGGGCTTAACCCCATAAGTCTAGTGATGGTTAGCAAGTAATGGTACGAGTAGAAATTGGAAATCATATGAATCTAAGTTGGTTGATCCAGTTGCACTAAACTACGAGTCGGTCTCGGACGACAATGAAAATGACGATGCTAATGAAATGAGAGTCTGATGTTTCAAGTGAGTCATCTTTACAGCCATATGATTTGTGTAATTTTCAGGAGCCAAGGATAATATTCATCCTGCTTGTGTAATTTTCACAATTGGTCGACGTAGTTGCTGCACTTCGGAATTCTGATGATGCTGATGGGGTAAGTAAACCATATATGTTCATTGGTTTTAAAATTTTGTCAAATGTTCTTACAATAATCATAGGTTCTAAAAAATATTAGGCACTAGTCGGGCAGCGAGTAGGAGCCTAGTGCCTAGACGGCTAGGCGGGGGCTTTCTCATTTGTGGAGATCAAAGACAGGTGCTTTCTCCCATTTCACGATTGTAGACAGGTGCTTTCGCAATTTCTTGGAGCTTGACAATTTCGATTGCCAATTAAGCAATTGAAATTGTTTGGATTTTATTTCTCCCATTTCACGAAACTGTTTCCTTATACGTTCGCGTTTTTCCCACCACCATTTACATGTCTACAATGCGAAATAAAAAAAGGGACATTGTGGTCAGCAATTCAAATGAGAAAACACAGACTTCTATGATCAACAATTGAAAACTAGGAAACGGACACGATGGTGCAGTGTCTGAATCCAAATGTAAAAAAAGAGAACAGGAAACAGACATTGCGTTGCAGTGTCTGAATCCAAATGTAAAAAACAGAACAGGAAATAGACATTGCATTGCAGTGTCTAAATCCAAATGTAGAAATCAGGAGTCACGTGAGGTGTTAAGCATAGAAGGCATGTGAGTGATGAAAAAATATAGAACCAGGAAATGAACAGTTCAACGTAGTGTCTGAATCAAAAAATAAAAACAATACCGGGAAATAGACATTGCATTACAGTGTCTGAATCTAAAGTAAAAACGGGCACGTATGAGGCATGTGATTGATGAAAAAAAACAAAACTGTGAAATGGACACTGCAACACAACGTCTGAATCCAAATATAAAAAACAGAATTAGGAAACAGACACCGTGTTGCAGTGTTTGATCCGTATTAACCTATTCCAAAATATAAAAAATATGAGAAAGATGGTGCTAGTTGAAGTGGGTGCCAGCTGTAGTGGTAAATTATGCAATTTTTGTTTATTTTAAATGCATTTAAGTATCACAATACATGATTGACCTATTTATATTTAACATAAATATTGATGATCTATTGTCAATATGGTAACTTTGTATTGATTTTATACAAAATCACTCTTTATTTTATCTATTATAATTTCATACAAAATGTTGCAAAAAAAGAAATCATAAAAAATATTGAACAGCAGATACATAAAATTTTAAAAAATTTCAAAGTCTTACAAAATGTAGGAAATTCGAATTATATTCCAAAAATTTTGAGATAAAATCAATTCCGAAATTTCGATAAATTTCGAAAATACAAAATTCCTAATTTGGAACTAATATTTGTTCCAAAACTTTTTCGGATTGGCATTGGGTTACTTGTTTCAGATCCAATTGGACGGAAAATCACCCCTAACCTTAAAATTAAATTGGAATTATCTTATCGATTATTTAATATTAGCTAAATTGATAGAGGTTCAATTGTAAATGTTAATTAAGTGAGAACAACTTGTATTGCATGGCTTCAGTGCCACTGTGGCGTCCTGTGTCAGTAAACACAAGGATATGTGAAAAAAGCTAACATATGTCATTGTATTATTTTATTGGCACATGGCACCATGTGACGGTGCATTTGTTCCATGCAAGTCAAGTCCTCCTTAAAATTGAAGGCCATCTTCATCCGTTCAAATAAGAAATATTAATTGCAACAAAAAACTAACATGTTTTCAATAGAGCAATATCATTAGTGAGTTAAATAATTAAGAAAAATGAGAGTCCATGAAGACGTGAAATATTAAATTTTGACTAAAAAAATAAATAATAAAAAAATATTCTGACAAGAAAAATGAAATTTTTTATTTTTTATTTTTTATAAAAGGAGTATTAGTTGAAAATGTGTTGAATTTACCAGTCGAAAAATGATTTTGACACTCCCCTTTCTTTTCCTTGCCTATCTCTTTGTTTATGACTTTTTTTTTACTTTATTCAATCAAACCGCTAGAAAAATAAATAAAAAAGCGCAAAAGAATGAAAAAGAGTGTGAAAATCGTTTCCTAAGACAGTTTAGCCAAATTGACTAACCATAATTAGCAAAATCATTGGCCAAACAATTCCACTCGTTACATTTATGCAAAAAAATGCAATCTTAAGCGAGCACTATATCATAAGCAATTTGCCCTAAACTTTGAGAAACAAGGGGACTTTCACAGAACGAGTTCATAGGAGATGAACAACATACATAGAGTCTGTTTCTAACAAAAAGTGAGGGTATGGCCTCTCTTTTAACCCACACAATCCGAATTCCTTGCCAAATAAATTTTCTTAGACTCTAATAGTTCGATTATCTATGTTAAAGTTTCAGTCATTGTCGTGCTCCTGTAATTAATTGAAAATAGTTGCTTCCAAGTGATGAAGAATAACATATAGATATAGATGCTATACTTTAACCATAATCCTAGCTATTTTGTCACAAATTGCTTTTTTTTTCTTTCTTTTTTTGTATCGTAATGTCACAAGTCGTTCTTACGGATGCTATGTCGTTCAATACGCCCTCCGATAAATGGCGTAGTTATTTAGAAAGAAAAATTAAATTAATAGAGAGAGAAAAATAAACAGAAGCAGCAATTTTAATTTTATGGTCATCCAATCTAATAATCTCTACATACATTCCATGGTAACTCTGAAATCTTCCTCAATCTTCTTCCAATTTGAAGCCCCACATGTACTGTGCCCAATGTCGACCGGATTCACCAAATGATTCGAAAGGTGGAATAGGATTGTTTGTCAACCACGCGCCGAACTTGTCAATGAAGTCGGCATACGACATCCCCCGCGCGGTTTCGTCTTGTGAAGAACAGATAGTGTGCCCGACCGTAACCTGCAAGAAAAGAAACGAAACAAAAAAACTCATTCAGTCATTTAAACAGACAGTTGGTGAGCAACGAACAAACAACTAGAAATCATGGTTACATAATTTGCAAGTCGAAGTCTATGGTCAGTAACTTACGGACACCGACAAGGACGATGAAAATAATGAAAAGTATTGGGACGCAGATCAAACAAGCGATTCCCACCCTAATCAGGAGCACAGTATACAAGGCCAGCACACAAAGGGGCACCAATACGATTGCCTTGGTCAATTTGATTGCCAAATTCAAAACGTTCCGGAAACTTCTGGGTTCCCAGAGCAAAGCTTCCATAGCGACTCTCGCAGATTTCTGAAGCTCTTGGCGTTTGGTTATAAACCAGTCCTCGAAGTTATCTATCATCCTTAACACGTTATCTATCATCGACATCGTTGCCGTCGGATTCTTCAGATTCCACTTTCTGGAAGGAACAAAAAACAGGCGACGAGAAAAGACGGAAAGAGCCAACGTTAGGGTTTGAAACTTGAACGTCGATGATGTATGTATGCATGTAAATGGCGTGTCTCGTTGTATATATAGGATGTCGAAGCCAAGTACTCATAGTCCTGGTAGGAGATTACGTCCGTCTATCTCACGGATTTTGATTACAGCCCTTAGATCGATCGAACGGTCAAGATTTAACGACAACACTAAGCAATTACTGAGTTTTTGTCCTAATCCTACTCTACTGTGTGTCTTTAAAATAATAATTGGTAGTGTCACCGTTTAGTGTACTCTTGATGATACACGAAAGTAATTTACATAATACAAGTATATTATTATTGTGACGTTTTATTGCAGTGATACATTGTTTTGTAGAGAAAAACTTACACATATCGATGTTGTATTATTGGCATAAAACTTAATAGTGTCCCTAAATTATGTAAGTCAATCTCTCACCCTACGCCCTCAAACATTTGTACTTGTGTCCATTCCGAATAAGGGTCTATCTAGCTCTAGGCACATATAATTTAGGGTATTCTAAACATTTATACTCGACCGACGATAAATTCTAGAATGCGTCCGTCTATCTCACGGATTTTGATTACAACCCTTAGATCGATCGAACGGTCAAGATTTAACGACAACACTAAGCAATTACTGTGTTTTTGTCCTAATCCTACTCTACTGTGTCTTTTAAAATAATAATTGGTAGTGTCACCGTTTAGTGTACTCTTGATGATACACGAAAGTAATTTACATGACACAAGTATATTATTATTGTGACATTTTATTGCAGTGATACATTGTTTTGTAGAGAAAAACTTACACATATCGATGTTGTATTATTGGCATGAAACGTAACAGTGTCCCTAAATTATGTAAGTCATTCTCTCACCCTACGCCCTCAAACATTTGTACTTGTGTCCATTCCGAATAGGGGTCTATCTAGCTCTAGGCACATATAATTTAGGGTCTTCTAAACATTTATACTCGACCGACCATATTGGCCAACGATAAATTCTAGAATGCGCACGTTGTTAATCATGTGAGAACATTATCAACTGGACTTGTTGGAAACACCATAGAGTCATGCTCTCGTAATCGTAAGGTCTTTATTTTGATGACATGTCAAATTGCATACAACAGGGTATCGACAATCCTGAAACAACTACCTCAGTGCTGGTACGAGTAGAAATTGGAAATCATTACTTTAGTCTAAAGTAGGAAGGGAAATTGCACTATTCATATGAACAGTGACTTGGGATGGATTTTGAGTTATTTACAAAATTGCCATCGCCTTTTCCGTCCGTTTCCATCCCCTTTTCATTCCCTCTTTTTCTCTCCCGAGTCTCTCTGTGTAACCATCCATCGAATCCCCCATCCCTCCCTTTTCTCACTCTGTAATTTCCCTCAAATCCCTCGCCGATTCTCTCTCTCGCCATTCTCAGTCTACCCTTTCTCAGCTTGCAGCTCCATGCTCCACCTCGAGATTATAGCATCCCTCCCTTTTCTCACTCTGTAATTTCCCTCAAATCCCTCGCCGATTCTCTCTCGCCATTCTCAGTCTACCCTTTCTCAGCTTGCAGCTCCATGCTCCACCTCCAGATTATAGCATCGGGTGTAAGGTTTTCCTTTTCTGTTTTCTTTTTCCCGATTTGTTGAATTTGTATTTTATTGTTTGCCTATTACCCTTTGACGACAAGGTAGCAATTGTGACGGCTTCCACTCAAGGCATCGGCTCTTGAAGGCGCCTCCGTCGTCATCTCCTCCCGCAAGCGTTGTAGAGTTTACCTTTTGATTTGTATGTGTTTCGAAGCCTGTGTTGAACTATCTTATTAATAAAGTTTCTAAGGTTGTAGAGTTTACCTTTTGATTTGTATGTGTTTCGAAGCCTGTGTTGATCCGTTTCGGAATTGCAGTCGTTGATAAGATAGTTCTAATGGTAATTGTTTTATCTTTCATTAGGTGAACTTGGAACATCTGGCAAATTGGGAAGAGAAGCAGATGTTCAAACAGTAAATGGGTGTGTGTGTTTACAGATGTGTGGATGCATTTAGTTTATCTTCTCCAAAAGCATCTTTATAATGAAGATAACATGAATTTGCTAGGGTTTTTTTTTTCATTTTTTTATATTTTGGGTAGAAATTTGTTGTTGTTGTTTCTTACAATTTGAGTAGAAATTTGTTTCCATTTTAGTAGGTTCATGGAAGATCACAGTACAGCTAGCTTCCCGTTGAAAAGTAAGCTTCTATTGTATTAGCTTGGGGCAGTTTAATTTACTTGCCAGAAAAGAAAAAGTTATAAAGCCTTGTTCCTGCTGTTGTGGTGTCTCCTTTTAGGTAGAAATTATATCTTAATGTGCTTAAGCACCTGAATTTAGGCTAGGTCTAATGAAATGATATGCTATATTTTATAGATCAGTCACAATATTTTTGAACCTGAGGTTGTGGTGTTCACACTTTTTCTCTTAGGATTTAGAGGACGATACAGTGTGTGTATGATCTAATTTGAGTGAAATATCCTTCTTGATTTGCCTTATTCTTTCAAGTGTTATCATAACTTTGTGTGTGATTGATCATTGTGTATAACCAATATACCAGACAACCATAACCGAAAGCCATGCCTGCAGAGACTGAACCATAACCGAAGCCCATGCCTGCATCAATTGATTGAAAAGGTAAAAATCATTTCCGAATCTTTTGTGCAATGCGGTTAGGTTTGCACGGCCTATTTATTTGTTGCATTTTATTTTTGGCCTGAAATTGTGCTGATATTTTCTAGGTTGTGTGAAATTTCACTAAATCAAATATGAAATCGTCTTAATTTTCATGGCATTATCGATATTGGCCCCAATTCTTTTTCTGTGAATGAAGCTTGGAAACTGGAATAGATGGCCCTGGTTGTGTGAAATGTTTGGCTGGGATTTTGTATTATTCCATTAAACAAAATTAATTCTCTATGCGAAGCCAAATATTTGATTTTTCACTGTGGTTTGTTACTTTGATGGTTGATCACAAATGTAATTTCTTTCTTTTCTTATGCGTTCTTTGTAGCGCCCTCCCCTCACTTTCTCGATTATTGGTTGGAAATGCAAAAATGGATTAGCTGAGAAAAGGAGAGATGTTAGTTTTCTACATTTGACTAGAACCATATTTAAAACTTTGTATATCTGAAATATTATTGATCAATTGTAACTTGCCCTGCTGCTATTTGCTAATGACAGAGGCTAGGAAGATTGTACTTATTCTGTTCGTAGATGATAGGCTAGAAATTAAGTGTGTATAGGGTTAAATCAATTGATGCTATAGTATTTGTTAAAATTGTTAGATTTAGGGGTTTGGTAAATTGATTTTAGAGATGTTATTTTTAAGGTACCTTTGACTCTTAATTGCCATATGGCATTCAATATATACTCTATTGCTTGCTGGGGTTTACCCTTTGGAGCATTTTATTACGTTTCTTCTTGCTCTCTGACTGAAAATTTTAAACGCTATAGGTGAATGTAGATGCTGCAAAACCCGGCCCGAAAAAGGGATGAAAGCTAGCAATTCAACTTGCTACTGCGATACACAGGTATGTTGAAAGCTTTCCCAAATCCTCTGTGGTTACACAATTATACAGGTGTGTATGTACAGCTTTATACATGCATCTATGGAAATACATATGTTTGAGCCTGGTTTTTGTTTTAATTTATAGGCTGGTTGTCAGGTTCTAGCTGTGTGAAGTTTATGTCTTTAATTTAAATTTTTTATGAAAGTAGCTCATGTTTGCTTCCCCGGCAGTGGTTGTTCTGATTTAGTGGTTAAAAATGGAAATTTCACTCGCAATACGGGATTAATTGAGGTTCATGCATGCATCATTGGTGTAAATTTGAGAGACAGAATGATATATGTATGTGTAAAATCCCTCCATTTGGTTTTTTATTGCATTGTTTAGGTGGTGAATTGCACAGAAAATGGGGGAAGAGGGGTACAAATTATTTTACGAGTTTAAAATTGCTCATTTTGCACCACACTAGCAGTTTGACTGTTATCAAATTGGATGTGTGTTTTCTCTTGATTTCAATTCTTGGTTCTATCCATTTTGCACCCCTATTAATTCCCAAATCATTTGTCATATAGAAAAAACAGAGAGACAATTATGGAGTGCATACTGATGCTGCATGCACTACCCAGTCTGCCATCAACAGTGGTGTAATACTTCATTAGGTACACAGTACACTCATTCCCTTTATAATTGGGTTTAGTACGAAAATTTTCAAAATTTTGAAGCTGGTAAATATGATTTGGTTCTGTTTGATTGATTGTTTATTTAGGGTTTTTCTTTATAATTCAGTAAATGATTGCTCCTTCGGCTATAAAATTTGACCCCTATAAATTTCAAGGTTATTCTGGGACTTTGTCAACAGCGCCGAGTTCTCTTCACGGTGCATCACTATTCCGTGCAGCATAGCTCGGTAGCAGTTATAGGTGAGTCTCAATTGCCCAGTACTGTTCATCTTCTTTTGAATTTCTGTGCAAATATTTTTGAAGTCCAAGTGATTCAAATTTCAAATTTGTGTAAATTGATAAGTGTGGGTGTAGACACCCAATATGGCTTTTACATGGTGTTGCTATCTGGTTTTTGACAGAATTATATTGGGGACTGTCCAGATTTTGGTTTAGCTGCAGATGAAGCAAGATCAAAAGGTTATAAATTAGGGGTCTATCTAGCTCTAGGCACATATAATTTAGGGTCTTCTAAACATTTATACTCGACCGACCATGTTGGCCGACGATAAATTCTAGAATGCGCACGTTATTAATCTAGTGAGAACATTATCAACTGGACTTGTTGGAAACACCATAGAGTCATGCTCTCGTAAGGTCTTTATTTTGATGACATGTCAAATTGCATACAACAGGGTATCGACAATCCTGAAACATCTACCTCAGTGCTGAAAAAGGGCTTAACCCCATAAATCTAGTGATGGTACGAGTAGAAATTGGAAATCATATGAATCTAAG